TAGCAGAAATCCAGCGCGCAAAGTGCTGTTGCTGCCCAAGAAATACAGTGATCGTGCACCCAGCCCATTGGAGCCCATCACCAAAACACTGCTCACCTATAAACTTGTGTGACACAAAGGAATGTCATAAACTCCACGGCACTCCACAACCTGTGTAACTGCACACACTCATCCACATGCACGAGCACATTGCTGGGCAGAGGCCCATCTAGAAAGGGCCAGATCTATGTCAGGATGACCTCAAACAGGACAACAGAGATACTCCTTGGTCAGTAAGACCCCCTTCTCTTAGAATTTCAGTTTGTGGCGGTGTCCCCAGGCTTTCAGTCAGTGGGACAAGAGGCAGTTTCATTTTGGAATCAAGTCTGTCTTCGTCTTTCACATGGACTTGCAACAAGATGTTCTGGAAAGGGGCGGCATGTAACATATCACATATGTACTTCTAAACACAAGCTCTGTTTGATGAGCAAGCAGAAAGGGATGGCAGGCCCCACTTCCGTCATTTCTAGGAGCACAGTCTTCATCTCTGGGTACTTTACAGTGTCCTTCAGCAGGTGGTGAAAGAACTCCAGGATGCTGGGAGAGATGTACTTATGCCAAGGCAGGCAGCAGATCTTGGGGACTACCTTCATTAATGTCTTCACATACTGCAGGATTGTACCTTGTAGCAAGCTCTTGACAACCTTCAGCAGGTCTTCTTTGACCATAGTGGTACTCTGGTAGCCAAGTAGTCAGCAGATAAAAATGTGGAAACCCCACGAAGTTTCAGTAGCTGCCATAAATGCTGGAACAGGTCAGATTCAAAGCCTTGGATCCATGTAGATATTTAGGTCCTTCATTAGGTTATCTCTTTCAAATTTTCAACTAAATGGTAATACCATTCAAACAAACCAGCTGGTGGAGCCACAGTAGCAGTAGTTGGGCAGGAGAGTAGTCATAGTTGAGCTCCCAGGAACACGAAGGATGACTCTCACATAGAGCACTGACATGTTGTGATTGGTATCAAAGCTGTCCAGTGTCAGGTTCTTGTTCAATAGCTTGTGGGTCATGCGGTTGATTTCCAAGAGGTCGGCCAGCTCAACTATTGATGTCAGGTCTTCACTTTCAAATTGTCCAGTTGCCAGTTCTAGAGACATACATGGCTGCTGAGACATGCTGTGTAATCAGATGGTTGAGGTCTGTCGACCTGCTCAGAAGTTGGAGGTAACTCTGCTTCAGAAGCTTCTCCTCGTGGTTAGATGGTGGGAGGTGGGTCATGGCTCCCTGATTGTTGCCTTTGGATCTTAAACTGTTTATCAAGAAGCAATGAAGCAGTCTTCCACCTGGGCTACACAGTGAGTTCAAGGCTAGGCTGAGCTATATAGTGAGACCTGTCTCAAAACACCAAGGGGAAAAAAACCCAATCTTCCTGCTATACTTGCCATAACCTTACATGAGACAATCTGGCCTACAAGCTTGTAAATGAATTGGATCAAAACAGATTCATCTCTGCCTCAGTTTCATCATAGAGAAACTTCTTGTCGAACCTGCTGATTGCGTGGTGGGGGCTATTTGTGTACGGTCCTGGGAGTAGAGAACATGCTCCATCCTTGATGCTGCCTTAGTCTCTAGGATGTGGGCGTCAGGATTCAGAGCGCAGACATCTCAATGGGTACTGGATCCTCCTGCCACGGTCAGCTCCAGGAAGTTGGAAGCACAGCTGTGAAAGGTCACAGCATTGCTGCAGAGTTTCACCAAAGGGAGAAAGGTGTGGGACTGGCTCTTAAATGTGCCTACCACGTTCAAGAGCCTTTCTGTGCCCAGAGAATTGGACGGCATGGTGCTTTAATGTTGGGGCAGCTCTTGGGGTCCTTTTCATGCCACAGGACAGTTGAAGGGTCGTGCCCAATCCCACAGTCACACACGGTCTTCCCGATGGACTGTAGGCCTTTCTGGGTGACATTCTTCTTTCAAATGGCCTGGTGCAGTGGCTCCCTGAGGGTCGCCTGGGAGAAGTCCTGCCGAGAAATGTGCTGGGTAACATCAGTCGTCTGTTTGTGTTTCATTTGGGATGGTTCCTTTTACCATGTCTGCAAGTGCTTTATTCTTTTGTGTTGTCTAATCTGCTGTTAATCTCATCTGCTGTATTTATCACCTTAGACATTGTTTTTTAATCTCTAGATATTTGATTTTTTTTCTTTTTTTTTCGATTTGTTTTTTTCAATATTCCATGTCTCTCCTTAACATGAGTATGCTTTATTATGTATAATTTGTGAGTATCTTCTTTTTCTTCTTATTGTGGATCAAATTTTCCTTCTTGTGACTATAATTTTTTATTGGATATCAGGAACAAAATTCTTTCATTTCTTTAAATATACTTAAGCTTTGTTCTGAGATACAGTTCCTTGGGAATAGTTTGATTCTTTGAAGACATCTTTTTGAGCTGTTTTGTTTTTTGAGACAGGATCTCTCAGGTAGTGTAGGCTAGCCTCAGATCTCATCCTCCTGCCTTAACCACCCAAGTGCAGGGATTACAGGCGTGTATCCCACCCAGCTTCTTTTTGAGCTTTTATAAAAGGGTGAGGCAGGAGGAACAAGAGTTTGAGCCCAGCTTGGGCAATTCATCAATTCAACAAGACCTTGTCTCAAAAAATTTTAAAAGAGAAGGGCTGAGGATGTAGCTTAGTGTAAAGGTCCTGGGATTCAATCCGCAGTACCCCCTAAGCCCCTGTTCCCATACACACACTCACATGGCAGAACAAAGGGAGCCTTCAGTGTAGGACTAGTTCTTTCATTCCTACTGAGGCAATACCCTCTGAGTACTCTGTTCCCTCTGTTTTATAAAATCTCTCAATTCTGGCTGCGGGGAACACACAGCCCTGTCTGTGTATGGCCATGAGATTTGCCTTACCTGTCTGTTCCTTCCCTCTCGTTCTTGTTCTGCCTTGGAGAAGTTTAATCACACGTATGACCAGGACTCAGTAAAATGAATGCTTAATGGTAGCATGCTGTAGATTTCTAGAGGTTGCTTATCACGTATGCAGCTCTGTTCTGTTAGTATGCCTAATGATTCTGCATGCCCTGGAGTCATTACCAACTGAGAGACTGCCAAAGTGTGTGTGTGTTGCTGCACTGTGGCCTAGAAATCCTCTCAAGGCTGAGTCAGGCAGTCAGAGGGCTCACCTCTGGTCTTTATGGACTCCCTGTTGTCCAGTGTCCAAAAACCATTGCTTTATATATTTTGTCTGCTTTTTAGTTAAGGTAAGAGGGTAAATCTGGATCCTGTTATTCCATCTTGGCTGATAGTGAAAGTAACTGGGTAAAAGAGCAAAGATCTGTAACCAAAAGAGAGTGATAGGTGAGAGATGGGTGAAAAAGATCACCAAACCTTCGCCCAGATGTGAATAAATAGAAACATTAACCCATATTTTAATTTAACTTCATGTCTGGAAAGTCTGAAGTATGATTTATTTAATATTATATAGTAATATAACATTTAGAAAATGCTTCTAGTATTAACTCTATAGTTGTTCCTGGTATATTTTTACATTGTCGTGTAGTAGTGGGTTGATCATTTGATTTGATTTTGCATCATCTTTTTTGTAAAAAAAAAAATGTGTTTACAACATGTTCTTGTTTCAGCTAATTTATTGTAGTGGATTTAAAAGGTAAAAATGTAGGCTGTAGGATAACAGGAGTTTTCATTACAGCATCTTATTACATACACCGATGGGGTTTAATGAATACTTTATAAATCATAAAAGAAATTAAATTTACAGTGTCTTTGAATGTCAAACTTAACTGTTTTCATTGTATCTTAGTAAGTGCCTTAACTTTTTCCCAGTAGTGTTCTCAGACCCAAATATGAATCAAAGGCGCAAAAGTCCTGTTACTAAGATTGTACAATCAAAGGATGATTGAGAAATACTGAGTTAGGCTCAAGCCTGTTAATTGAAAATCAGTCACTTTAGCTGAACCAAACAGGTAGACTCAGTCAACTTGGTATTGCTTAGCTTATCGTGTGCAAATGAAGTTAATAATTGTACTGACCTCAGGGTTGGAAAGATCCTGACACTGGGGTTCTCAGTCTGGGGAGATTTTTGATCCCCGAAGACACAGTTGAATTCTGTTAGGGACATTTGTTCTCACAGTGGTGGTGGTGGTTCAGCTTCTGTGGGTAGAGGCAGGAATGCTGCTGCACGCCCTGCAGTGATCCCCATGACAGGGAGGCCTAGCCCTGAGTGTCAGTACTGTCTGCTGCGAAAGCTGAGAGGAAGTGCCTCTCCTTGTACACTGCAGGACACCAGATGATTTCATTTGTGTTGTCAGTAGGGGCTGCTGTTAGTGTGAATTTCCAGTTCCTATTTCAGCCTAAGGATTAATTTTTTTTTTTTTTTTTTTTTGGTACCAGGGATTGAACTCGGGACCTTGCACTTGCGAGGCAGGCAGTGGAACCACTGAGCTAAATCTCTGGCTCCCTCTAAGGATTAATTTTTAAAAGAAAAAGAGGATAAGAATACTTCAAAGTTGAATAACTTGAATTTTTCCCTTTTTACGTATCTATAAAAAGTGAAGTGGGAGAGAAATAGCAAAGGATATGGAAAACTAAACTTTTGTTTATTAGTGTCAATTTTAATAAAATGTTTATTTGGTAGAGAAATTTTTGATGTTCAAATGAATTTAATTATGAAACTCACCTACGTATGTTTTGAAAATACACATTTGCAAGGCAGACTGGTAAACTTGAATTATCCTTATTGTATCTTTCATTCCTAATTATTTTTAGTGTGTTAGTATCTTCTTTTGTTTCACACCTGTTTTTATTACTGCATATTGGTTATATAGATTAGTGGGTTTCATTCTGGCAGAGGTGTACTTACACATAACGTGCTTTGGTCATTTTCACCCCTCCTCATTTCTCTTGCCCTGCCCTCGTTCCTAGTTTCACAGTTTTTGAGGGTTTTCAATGTGAGTTATATAAGCATTTTCTAATTAATTTTTGGGAATTACTTTTCCTGTAGGTATTACCTCATTTGGGAAGCCTTGAGAAACAGGAAAGACATTCTAACAAAATGTCAACTTTTCGAAATCATTGTCCACATTTGGATTCAGTTGGTGAAATAACAAAAGAAGATTTGATACAAAAATCACATGTAAGATATAGTCTTCCTTAAATTATATTTCCTAAATAAGTATTTTTTTATAAATTATAAAAAAGTACCCTAAATTCATGGGTCCCAATTTTTACAGTACATGATATTACCTGTGAATTGTATAGTTTGCCTATGTCAATATAACAAAATGTTATCTTTTTAAAATTTCTTTTTATAGGGTACTTGTCAGGATTGTAAAGTCAGAGGACCAAATCTTTGGGCATGCCTGGAGGTATATATATGTATATATATATATATATATATTTATATGATTTTTTTTTTTTTTGGTCTGAAAAACTTGTTATTGTAAGTTTAGATCTGAAAAATGTTGTATTGGACAGCTTTCTTGTTGCTTTGACAATTCCTGACACTCACAAATTAAAGGAGTGGTTTATTTTGGCTCACTGTTTGAGGAACTTCCATGGTTGGTGGCTTCAAGGGAGAAGCATGGTGGTGGAAGGGCAGGGCACAGTGAAACTGCTCACTTCATGGTGGCTGGGAAGTGGAGCACTGGGGAAGAGTTCTGGAGAGGAAAGGGCCAGGGCCAGGCACAGTCCCTAGGTCACATTTCTATGACTTCCCAGACATACCCACAGGTGTGCTTTACTCATCTCCTAGGTGACATTTAAGCTGGCTGACAAGATTAACTATCACAAATGATAACTAAAGAAATGTTTGATAATTAAGAGAATTTCGTAAATGAGCATACTTTTAAAACATCGTTATTGATAACAAAAAATTAAACTTCAAACTTTGGAAGGATTTTTAACTTACAGTGCTATTGCAGAGTTTTACTAAATCACTGAGATATTTTATGCTTGCCTTTTATTGGAGGTGACATAACTTTGAGCTTTAGTCAGCTGTATTCTGGCTTTATTTTGTGTCTTAAGTATCGAAAGTATTTAATCATTAAACATGTAATCGAACATTTGTAAATGTAATTTTTTTTGTAAATGTAATTTTAATGCTACTATTAATTTAGATGTTATAAAATATTTTTTCTTGTATAATTATTTACAGAATAGATGTTCGTATGTTGGCTGTGGTGAGTCACAAGTAGATCACAGCACTGTACACTCTCAGGTATGTATATAATTTTAAATTCGTTCATTAATAATAAATTTATTCATTTATTTTTGTGAGACAGATTTTCTCTATGTAGTTCAGGCTGACTTTGAACTACTGTGTAGTAACCCAGGCTGGCCTCCAACTCATGGTGATCCTCCTGCCTCAGACTCCTGAGGGGTGAGATTATAGGCATGTGGCTTTTTTTTTTAATTTAAATTTTTGTTAGTCCGTGTTCACAGTATGAATGATTACATTCATTGGGATTTGGTACATGTATATAATACATCTGAAGACTTTTTATGTTCCCCTCCTGTCCCCTTTTTTCCACTTTCTCCCTCCTCTCTCTCTGTATTGCCGAGACTTTAAAAAAACATATCATATTTTGAGATAACTGTAGAATGAAAGACAATTATTTTATTTTATTTTTGCTTCTGAGTATTGAACCCTAGTGATCCTAGGGCTTTGTACATGCTAGGTATGTGCTGTTCCACTGGACTGTATACCCCATGCCCTGCAAAACAACTTTTAAAGATGTCCTGAGGGAAAGGGAAAGCCAACAAAACATTAATTCAAATTCTGATTTAAATTTTTGTTTGTCTTTTTGTTTTTTTGAGACAGGGTGTCACTATGTAGTCCAAGCTGGCCTTGAATGCATGGTGATCTTCCTGTCTGAGCCTCCCAAGCGCTGAGATTACAGGTGTGTGCCACCATGCCCTGCTGCAATACTGATTTAAGAAGCATACATCCAGCTGGGCATGGTGCATACCTTCAGTTCCAACACTCTGGGGAGCTGAGGCAGGAAGATTGCAAATTTGAGCCTAGCCTGGGCTCTTAGTGAGACTTTAGGGACTTTAGGAACTTAGTGAGACCCTATCTCTAAGTAAAAGAGGCTGGGGATGTGTAGTTCAGTGCTTAGTGCTAAGGTTCTGTCCCTAGTACTGAGAGATGCAGGGGAAGTAGCATATATCCAGGTGTGGGGAGGTGATAGCTGGAGTATTAGGAGGTTATAGGGGTGAGAGAGTAGATGTTTATGCTCATGACATGTCGAAGCTAATATATTCCATTTCATACCGTGTCGCCTTTTACTGCACATCATCCTAGCTGGAGTTCCCTTTCTACTTTGCTCTGGTTGTTTGGTGCTTTCCATGTAACTCTGGCATGCATCTTCTGTAGTATTTGGTAAATTTTTATTCTAAGCTAAGTTTCTCAAGTGAACTGTTTTAAAATGCACATTGCTATCTCTACAGCACTTACTATTCTCAACCAGGATTCCTCAAGATAATTAATTAAGCCCAGATATCCAAGGCTCTAAGGCATGACTGCACATGCTTTGCTTCTCTGTTCATCTAGAATAGTATTTGGTGTGTATGTCACCCTCAGGAGAATTGCAAAACAGTCACTTTCTGCAGGGATAAATCCTTTCTCAGAACTCTGGTTGAGAAAGGGTGGAGGTTTATGTAGCCTGGATCATACATTCCCTATTTCTTGAGCTGTTCTATGCTTTGACTAATTTCATCTGTGTTCTTTTGCCATTCTAGTTTTCTAGAATAGTTATTGCTGTTCATTATTTTTCTGTCTTTTTGGTAGAGGTGGGTATGAAACCCAGGCTCTCACAATACTAGTCAAGTGCTTTACCCTCGGGCTTCCTCATCCCCACTGATATCTTATATTTGTTTGCTTATTGCAGAGCAGTCTTAAACTCTTACATTTATCTTTGTGTATGAATAGTGGGGGGAAAAGGACTAGAGTAACTTTGAGAGCAGGCTTAGATACTGTGTATTCACTATACTTTAGCAGTCTTTAAAGAAATGTTTTTATTGTTCTAGATTGGCTCTTTTGAGTATATTGTTATTCATCAAAAGCTAGTAGTTATCTGATTTTTTTCAAGAAATATTTTAAGTATATTTATTTCAGTTTTTTTTTTTGTACCAGGGATCGAACTCAGGACCTTGTGCTTTCGAGGCAGGTGGTGGAACCACTGAGCTAAATCTCTAGCAAGTATATTCAATTTTGGTTCTTTTCTTTCTCCTATGAAATTATACAGGAGACAAAGCATTATTTAACTGTGAACCTTACTACTCTTCGAGTATGGTGTTATGCTTGCAGCAAAGAAGTATTTTTGGACAGAAAATTAGGAACTCAGCCTTCATTGCCTCATGTAAGACAACAGCAAATACAAGAAAACACTGTCCAGGTAATCTAAACTCAGTTAAAATATCAAATATTTGGTAATAATTTCAGAATTTTTTCATGTAATTGAAATTTAAAAAGGAATCCTGCTTTACCTACCTATACTTAAAACATTTTTGTAATGTGTCGCTCCTGCTCTTCAGAGTGATGGATTAAGGTGAGATTGAAGCCCCCCATCTAGAGATGAAAAAGCACCTGTGAATTTTAAAAGCTTTTATAAAAAATAGTTTAAATAGTATTTATCTTTTTTTAGCAAATCTGAGTCTTGAAGAGGTGGTGGGCCTTCTTTGATAGGGAATGGCAGATACTAATTCAGCATCCTTTTCTCCTCCATTCCTGTCACTCCCATTTGTATTACTGTGAACATTTACTAATTATTGAAAACCAGATAGAATATAATAAAACTTAGCATCAGTCTTAAAGATCTTTTTTTTGTTGGAGCAAGAGACTCATAATACATATGTAAGTTTGTAAGATTGGTCACTTAATTTTCAGAAATTTCTAGTCAAATAAAAATAGGACAAAAAATGAAATTAGCATAGCTAGCTGCTAACTTATTCTGAGGATTTGTTCAGATTTAATTAAAAATGAAGTTTTCTTCGTGTGTTATAAAAATCACGTTGTATTTCTATACTTGTTCTTTGACACCCATTTGTATTTTTCTATAATCTTCATAGCACATTTCCGATCCTGGACATGTGTAACAATAACTTTGCTTGGCTCATACACTATATAATTTAAGGTGGAGGCCAAGCCCAAGGTCTTATGGTCAGCGTGGCTGTGGGGAGCGACAGGTGGCTCTAACGCGCAGGGTGGCAGAAGGGCTCAGGAGCGTGGAGTGATGGCCAGTGTCACACAGGGAAAGCATTGCCTCTGCATCCGAGCATTGCTCTTAAAGGCTTAGGTTGAACACACCATGAGTACGACCAGTGTCAGATTGTTCACTGGTATTTTTAAAAAGCCAGAAGCCTGGATTGGACTCTGGGGTGTGCTTCAAGGGGCATCTTCACACAGACTCTGTGCTTCCTGGAATCGATATTTATATTTTTCAAGTACCAAGTTAAAGGCATCAGATTATAAAATATCTTTCCATAATATTTTCTTTCTGAGATTCCAGAGCTTTTAGTATTTCCAATATACTTTTTTTCCATTTTTTATGGGACTCAAAAGTATTATAAGCTCCAAAAAGTGCTCTATAACATAAGGCAAACTAGATTTTAGACAAGGAATATTAGTTGGATTTCTGACTTCACAGTTGAATGGCTCTAGTTAGTAATCACCATTACCATTTCTCCCACTGATGCTTATTATCCACAAATGTGTTTAGTAGTTTTTGAAAGTCTTAACAGTATGAAAATAATATTTTTAATGCTCTTATATTAACAAAAGTGTGATGTGCTAACTAAAAGTTCAGCTATGTAAGGAGCAGATGTACAAGGGCAAAAGTTTTAACATCACTTTTTTTTAAATTAAGTTTTTTTTTTTGGTACTGGGGAAAGAACTTGGGATCTTGCACTTGTGAGGCAGGTGCCAGAACCACTGAGCTACATTCCCAGTCCCCTTAATTAAGTTTTTTTAAGACAGACTCTTGCTGTATAGTCCAGGCTGGCCTTGAACTCACTACAGTCCTCCTGCCTCAGCCGCCCAAGTGCTGGGAATTTAGTCGTGTGGCACCATGCCAAGCTAGGATCACTTTTTTTTGGTACCGGAGATTGAACTCGGGACCTTGCGCTTGTGAGGCAGGTGGCAGAACCACTGAGCTAAATCCCTGGCCCTAGCATCCCTTTTTGTTCTTTTGTTTTTTGTTTTTTTTGGTTTGGAGATCAAACTCCCTAGTATCACTTTTTAAAGAAATAAATTCACAGTGATACTCATTCTGTATAATTATTATTCTGTATAAGTAATATACACTAATCAATTGAACCAAAAAAAAGATTGCTGAGATGTGGTATCACTGAATTTGATAGTTGTTGAGTTTAAATTCAGAAAAGTCAGTTGTAAAAAGTGGCTTTTTATTTAGTACATATATTGATAAAGCCAAGATGATATGCTAGTAAATACAATAATTGCTAACACCACAAATTCTTAGGGTTGTACTATTAAAATAACATCTATTAATAATCGATAACTACTTTTTATAGTATAGATATTATATAATTTTAAAGTTTTTTTAAAAACTAAAGCTCAAAAATTTGGTGATTGAAAGTGTGACTTTTCTGAGTTAAGTTGCTGTTTTTTTTGGTATTAAGGATTTTAAAATACCTAGTAATACAACATTGAAAACTCCTTTGGTTGCTGTATTTGATGATCTGGATATAGAAGTGGAAGAAGAAGATGAACTTAAGGCAAGAGGTAAATTAATTCTGTGTAAACACTCCTTTGTTTGGTACTGCCCATTTCTTCAGGAAATGATGTAATGTGAAAATTTCTGAATCTAGAGATGAAAGGGAATGGAGATAATAATAACAAAAGCAGAAAAATTAGAAATCGGACCCAGTTTAATTGTATTTTCAGGTGAAGCAAACTTACAGTTTCTCTGGTGTCACTGTACCAAACTTGGATCCTAATCACTCTGTAGCAGCTGAGCCTTCTGGCCTTTTGCTCAGTTTGACGTCGGAGATCTACTTGGACTGTGGTTCTCTACCCGTTCACGTGCATCTGTCAGTGACAGAGGGAGGGGAGGGTAATAAAGTCTGCCCTTAGCAGTTTCTGAGGACCACGTTCATTTGGAGAAAGAATTTGCTGATTCTTAATTCTCAATTCTCGTACACCTCTGCTTTGCTATGGCTCCCTCATTCTCAGCCCCCATGCTGAGAACCAGTCTGTTAGGATTTTCCACAGTTCTTAGTATAAACTTTATTTTTCTCAATATTTATTAGTACGTTTGCAGCACGTAATGATCACATTGCTCATTGGTAGTTGGTACATGTACATAACACATCTTAATTCTTTATTTTTTTCCGGTACCAGGGATCAAACTCAGGACCTTGCACTTGCCAGGCAGGTGCGGCACCACTGAGCTAAATCCCCTGCCTATCTTAATTCTTTTTTCATCTCCTTCCTTCCCAGCATAAACTTTAAACTTTCTGTTTTATAATTGATAGTGGGTATATATTTACTATGTTAAATATCTGGGAATTAATACTTTGATATAAAATTAACAATTACTAGGGATAATATACTTTATATATATTTATATTTTTAGTTTAATTTAGCCTAGAGTATTTATTTAATTGAAGACTTACTGGCAGGTGTTATTAAGATGTGTTTTCTTAAAAGTTTACAGTTTCTGGGCAGTGGATGTAGCTCAGTGATAAGAGTACTTGCTTAGCATGTGTCAAGCCCAGGGTTTTATCCTCAGCACTGCAGAAGGGTGTATATTTAGATTTTGTTTTGTTCCAAATTCAGAGAGCTTCCTAATTTTATTTCTGAAATGTTTGTTTTTCATCTTTTTTCTCTCAGTACTGGAGGTTGGACGTTGGGGCCCTCTACTACTGAGCTGTGTTCCCAGCCCGTTTTATTTTTTATTTTGAGACAGGATCTTGCTAAGTTGCCCAGGCTGGACTTGAACTTGTGATATTCCTGCCTCACTCTCTAGTGTCTGGGATTACAGTTGTGGGCCACATCCCCCTACTCTGTCTTTTTGTTCAGTGATGCAGTAAAGTGATGAAAGTGAATTTGAGAATGTATAGAAGAGAGAAAAATTGTCCAGTGGCTCCTTTATAGTATTAGCTTGTCTCATAGGAAGTTGATGATATGTAGTTGGAATGTCAACAGTTTCTTATGGGTCAGAGTGGCAAGTATTCAGTGTACTATATTGAAATAGGAAGGAAAGGATGCCGGTGTGTTATTTGTCAGGGTAGGAGTTTTTTGTGTTGTCACCAAACTGTTTTCTTACAATAATTAAACATTAGTTATCATGAGAAATATGTCTCAACTAGTGCTCTTTAAAAATACTTGTTCTTAGTTAAAATTAAGAAAGATTGGGGCCAGGGGTTTAGCTCAGTGGTGCTGTGCCTGCCTTGCAAGCACAAGGTCCTAAGTTTGATCCCCAGTACCCTCCCCCCCCCAAATTAGGAAAGGTTGTTCTGTAAATCTCAGAGGTTGAACTAATCCTTGGTATGTATGTATTTATTTATTTAGTTATTTTATTTTGTGGTCTAGGGATCAGACTCTGCCTTGAATATGCTCTGACCACTGAGCTACAGCTCCATCCCTGAACTAACTAGTTCTTGAATTTATCTAACGCTCAAAAATTTGGTGATTGAAAGTGTGACCTTTCTGAGTTAAGTTGCTATTTTGTATTTCTTTTTCTGGTTTTTTTTTTTTTGGTACTGGGGATCGAATTTGGGTCCTTGTGCTTGCGCAGCAGGCGGCGAAACCACTGAGCTAAATCCCCGGCCCTGTATTTTTTTTTCTTTGGGCTAGGGCTTGAACCCAGGGTCTTGTGCATGGTAAGCACTTGTTTCACCATCAAGCTGTACACATATTTTCATGTACTTTGTGTGTGTGTGTGGGGGGGGGGGGCTTTGGGCTTGTATCCAGGGTCTCGTGAATGCTAGGCAAATGCCCCTTTTTGTTTTTATTTTTGAGACAAGGCCTTGCAAAGTTGCCAAGGCTGGCCACCAACTTGCAGTCCTCTTGCCTCTGCTTCAGAAGTAGTTGGGATTAAAGGCATGTCCCACCACACCGGGTCACAATTGTTAACGTAGTTTTGGAATTATAATACTTAACAAACTCCCAGAAAATTGAGTCATTTTTGTATTAAATGATGACATATTTTTTTCTTGGTAGGACTTACAGGTTTGAAAAATATTGGAAATACTTGTTACATGAATGCAGCTTTACAGGCTCTTTCTAATTGGTAAGTAAAGAATTTAATTTTTTGTTTATATATTTTTAAGGTCACTTTTTGAGCTGAAAATGATGTGATTACAGTAGTTGACTTCCAAAGTAGAGAAGGCAAGAATCTGGGTTAGGCTGGGCATGGTGGCACATGCTTATAATCCCAGTACTCAGGAGGCTGAGGCAGGAGGATTACTACAAGTTTGAAGCCAGCTTGGTTTACATAGTGAGTTGAAGATCAGCCTGAAATACATAGCAAGACACTGTTTCAAAAGCAAAAACAATCTGCTGCCTGCCTTGCAAGCACAAGGACCCGAGTTCAATCTCTAGTTCCAAACCCCCCCCCCCAAAACAAAAAAAAACCCCAAACACAAAAGAATCTGGGTTAGGGACATAATCCATTATTACTCCTAAGGGGTCATTGTATATGTGTCTATAATTTTCTTAGATGTTGCTCTTGGCTTAAATGGTAGATAGTTGTGTGTCTTTGGGCAAGTTACTTTTACATACAGAAAATGAAGAGCTTGAGATAATTAATTCTTCAAGGTACTTTTGGTTTGAAGGCCTCTGAAAAAAAATTTTTTTGTCAGTGGACTATCTTTTTTTTGGTACCGAGGATTGAACTTGGGACCTTGCGCTTTTGAGGCAGGCGGCAGAACCACTGAGCTAAATCCCCGGCCCTGTCAATAAACTCTAATAACACGTTCAGATTTCTTTTTTATCATACCAATTAGATAGGGTATTACTCCTAAGTTTAGGTGTATTTACTCAGGAATTCAGAATCATTGACTTTGACATTGCCCTTTCTACTAAATTGAATTTTAGAGCAGTGGTTGGAGACTAAATATATTCGTACTTCTTTTTACTTAGATATTTTTATTGAGGTAATCTCTATTAATACTTTACCATCAAACTTCTTAGGTTCCAGGTAGGTTATGTTCTATAACCCTATGCAAAAAAGGAATCCAATTTTTATTTAATGATCAAAGATCATTTCTTTGAAGAAATGACATTTAGTCTGAAACTTGAAGAATGAGTAGGAGGTGGTGATGAGGGCAGGGGGAACATCTCAGCAGAAAGATGAGTACTTTTTGTAAGCAGCCGTGGGCAGGAAGGAGCATGAGGCATTGGAGGAATTAGAAGAAACTGTGTACTGGGAATATGGTCATCATGGGAGTGAATGGTGTGGGCACAGGTCACGTAGGCCATATGAAGGGTGTAGGTCTTCATCATCAGGGTGTGTTTTTACAACAGGGCAGCTAAATAATCCAGCTTACATTTTTAAAAAGATCACTGTGGTTATTATGTGGATAGTGAATTGGAGGGAGAAGAGAATGGAAGTTTGAATACCAGATAGGTGACTGTCATAGAATTGTAGGCAAGAAATATAAATTGTTGATTTGAGCCACCGGCGGTTACCAGTACCATGTACTAGAATTAGAGGGGAGGAGGAGCAGGTTCATTGAAAGTTAAATTTTGAACATGTTAAATTTGGAACAGCCATCAATTTGGGCACCTGATACAGATGGAGTTTAGATAAGATGTTTGACATATAAATTTGGCCATCACTAGCATATGGGTGGGATTTTAAGGTTAGCTATGGAAAGGAGCATACTTGGAAGGTAGGGCAAGGTATAGGATCAAGTCCAGAGCCACCCTTGTATTTTGATGTACAAGAGCAGAAAGAACAATAAAAAGGGAAATGGACTTGCTAGAGAGGTAAAGAGGAAAAGCAGAGAAGGCCATTACACAGTGCTCTGGTCAGGAGAAGGTCTGTTTAGAGAATGAGAGGGACACATGGTCCCAAGAGAGTGTGAAAGGTGTAACTGGATCTGAAAGTGCAGAGGACTCTGATCTGGCCTGGCCAAATCTGATTTGACTGCATTGAGCTTGTTAAGGATATGAAAAAATAAATGTGAAGTTGTAAAGGGAGCAGCAAAGACCAGGTGCAGGAATGTATGTGCTCACGGCTCATGAACGACTAGAAGTCAATCAGTGTTAAGCTTTGATTCCACTCTTTTTCTGTTTTCTAAATTAGCCCACCGTTGACACAGTTTTTTCTTGACTGTGGAGGATTAGCTAGAACAGATAAGAAGCCAGCCATTTGTAAAAGTTATCTCAAACTGATGACAGAATTGTGGCATAAAAGCAGGTATGTACTTAATGTATTCATCTTTTTATTGTTAAGTAAATGATATAAATATTAAAAAGATGTAGCCTTGTGGAGCTGGAAGAAAGTGGAAGAGAGACAGATTGAGCTGATTCAGTTAAATTTGGCGTACTGCATTTGAAACAGTGTTGAAATGAAGGAGTCATAGAAATTTAGAGACACAGGACTTAGTGGTCTGGAGATGTTTAAACTGCGTCAGCTGTTGTTCCTGACGTTTTTGAGTTTCCTGCAGGAGTGCTGTTCTCACAAAGCGAAAGCCAGACCATGGGAGCCCTTATGAATGTCTTTCTGTTTGTGTTTGTTTGTTGTAAAACTTATTAGGCTAATAATTATTTGTTATAATATATTAATTTTGTTATAGAACTATTCACAAAGTTGTATTTTTGGAAGACCATACAGTGGAGCATGATTATTGAGGGGAGAGCAATAAAACATCAGTGATAAGGCGTTTTGTGAGCCTCTGGAATGTATAGTGGGTAGTTTGGAATGATGTTTTTGAAACATGAACACTTTTCAGTTTATCACTTTGAATTGTTTTTAAGATCAAAAAAATTACAAAAATTTGTTTTAAAAAATGTTTTCTTCCTCAGGCCAGGGTCTGTTGTGCCTACTAATCTGTTTCAAGGAATTAAAACTGTAAATCCAATGTTTCGGGGGTATTGTCAGCAGGTCAGTGTATAGTTTTTTACCCATTATCTTAATAATCTTTAATAAATTTGGAAAATGCTGTTATCCTTTATTTGTGCATCTATAAATATTCATTACTCCTTGTGTCATTAGTGAGAATAATAATCCTTTATCATACATATTTATGTTTTTACAATTTAAGTTTTACATATATTTTTCTAGAAACTTCGAAGGTAGGTAAATATGTACTATATATTCATTCTAGTGTCCCTAGTTATGAGTTCCACATCCAGAGATCAAGTAAGTTTTCACCTGTATTTCCAGTATTTTTTGCTTTCATTTTAAAATTCTTCAACACATGAGGCATTTATTTTGAATTACAATATCCCAATTTTTTTTCACAGTTAAGACATTGTACTAAATTGTATATATCTAAGACGTCTTTCTTTCTCTTCTTCCCATTTTTGGTATCGCCATGGGTTTGAACCCAGGACTGGGTGAATGCTGGGCAAGTGCTCCTCCACGGAGCCTCGGGCCAAGCTGTCGGGACTTTCTAGTGCAGCTCATTGTTCTGTCTTTGTTTTCTCATTTTTTTGGCAATTGGTATCACATGGTAGTTACAGTTGTTACAGGTTTTGAGTGTTGGTGTTTTGGGGTTTTTGGTCTGGCTGGGGAATGCAGGGCCTTGTGCACACTAGTTAAGTGCTATCCTCTGAGCTATACTTCCAGCCTTTGGTTGTTGTAGTTTTATATATTTATTATTTATTTATTTTTGGTGGTTTTTGAGACAGGGTCTTGCTATGTACTTCACTTGGCCTTGAACTCGCTATATATAGCCCAGCCTGGCCTTAAACTCACAGCGATCCTCCTGCCTCAACCTCCTAAGTGCTGAGATTACAGGTGTGCACCACCACACCTGTCCTATATGCTGTCTTTAGTGCTTATACCTGTCCTTACACATGATTTTCTTAAAAAAATTTTTTTTATGATACTCTTTTTAAATCTTTACCTACTCCCCACTCTGTGTGTGTGTGTGTGTGTGTGTGTGTGTGTGTGTGTGTGTGTATGTGTATTTGTTGCTGGGGATCAAATGTAGGGACTGGAGCATGTTAGGCAAGTAAGTGCTCAACCACTGAGCTACATTCCAACCCCTGTTCGTTTTTATCCCATGTAAAGTTCTGGGACTCCAAGGATTATAATTTAGTGCTTTGATTTAAGGCTCAAGAATTTGGTTTTTGTTGTTGTTGTTTCTTTGTTTCTTTTTTTTTGGTACCAGGGATCGAACTCAGGACTTTGTGCTTGTGAGGCAGGCACCGGAACCACTGATCTAAATCCCTAGCCCTGATACAGGGTCTTCCTATATAGTCGAGGCTGGTCTTGAACTCACTGTGTAGCCCAGGCTGGCTTCGAACTCTCGGCAGTCCTCCTGTCTCACCCTCCGGGGTGCTGGGATCACAGGCGTGTGCCACCATGCCCAGCTGGGCTTAGGAGTTTTTTTTCAATAGCACTTCAGTTAGATAATGGACTCTTCTTTAAGAATGGATAAAGCTTTAATTTAAGCCAAACTGATATACTGTAGTATTTGAGTGTTGGACATCTCTCTGAATTCTGATTGTCACATGAGGCTAATTCAGTATATTATCTCTCTATCTTATTAATGGCACTAATAAAAGCTGACATTCAGATTATTTTCATTTTATTAAAACTTTTGTTTTATTTGCATAACTTTTTTGTGATACTGGAGATTGAAGCCAGGTCCTCATGTGTGCTAAGGCAACCCCTCTACCACTGAGCTACATCCCCAGACCTCTTTTTTAAAATTTTGAGGCAGGGTTTTACTCTGTTGCCCTGTGGGCTTGAACTTGTGAATCTCCTATCTTAGCCTCTCAAGTCCCCGGGAATATACAGTTGTGCGCCTCCATGCCTGCCCTTAATCATATAATGTTTTAGAACTTAGTGTGTCCAGTCTCTCTAGTGCAGTGGTGGTGAACCTATGGCATGCATGCTGCAGTTGGCTGCTATATTGTTGAAAGCTCTAAAAGGTTTGCCATCACTGCTGTAGTGTCTTATGTTTACAAACTGGTATTTCCATGTAATGCAGTACATTTATGAATCAATTGAAGACCACATTTTTTCTGTTTTTCCTTGGTTCCTACGTACATGTATGATGAAGTGGTAACATGTTGTTGATATATTAGGATGCTCAAGAATTCCTTCGATGTTTAATGGATCTGCTCCACGAAGAACTGAAAGAGCAGGTCATGGAAGTAGAGGAGAATCCTCAAACCATAACCGCTGAGGAGACCATGGAAGATGACAAGAGCCAGTCAGATGTGGATTTCCAGTCCTGTGAATCTTGTAGCAACAGTGATAAAGCGGAGAATGAAAATGGCCCCAGAGGCTTTTCTGAAGATAATAATGAAACAACAATGTTAATTCAAGATGAGAACAATTCCGAAATATCAAAAGATTGGCAAAAAGAGAAGATGTGTAGTAAGATGAATAAAGTAAATTCTGAAGGAGAATTAGATAAAGACAGAGACTCTGTGTCTGAAACAGTGGACTTGAACAACCAGGAAACTGTCAAAGTGCAGATACATGGCAGAGCCTCAGGTGACTATTTCTTCATTTGATCATGAAAATGATAGTATTTCATTTGTAGACAGTGAGTGCTTAAGTCATTGTTATTTTTGGAATTTCTAATTAATACACTTATAGTTTAGCAATATTTGCATGTATCTTAAAATTATGGAATATGAGGATAAGAATTTTATAGGTCATTTAATTATATAAGAAATTCATCCTCTTTGAACTAAAAATTCATCAAAAGTCTTTTAAAGATAAAAGGACCAAGAGATGGAGGAAAGGAAGAGGGAGAAGAGGGGCAGGGAAAGTAAAAAATTAATTTGTGTTATGTGCAGGTATTAACTCCCCATGAGGAATGTAATCATTAGTGCAAACGTGGTAATAAAAAATTTTAAAAATTAAAAAAAAAGTCTAGCAAATTAGACCCCAGAATTTTCCATTTTGTTTTAAATTCTGTTGTGACTTTGGGGAAAAGCAAAAATAACTCAAATTGCAATTTTCTTACTCTATACAGTATACTGTTAGATTCAGATTGCTGTCATTGGAATTGCATCAGATGTATTTCGTGTAGCAGTTTAATGAACCCTGTTATTAGAGATTATGCCATAATCCTGGTCAGGTCCTTTGAGAAAGAGCAAGTAGACAAATAAAAGATAGTTAAATTATTTACGTTACACACACAAACATATAAATTGCTTTAAGAGTTACCTTAATCTGCTATTTCATTCTTCAGAGTACATAAAATTAGACCATCAGAGATTCAACTTATGTGATTTTTGTTTGTTTTGTTGGTTTTGTTTTTTTTGAGGCAGGGTCTTGCTATGTAGTTCAGCCTGGCCTTGAACTCACTATGTATCCCAGGCTGGCCTTGAACTTGTGGTAATGCTTCTGCCTTAGCTTCCCAATAGGATTACAAATATTCTTTCTGTTTCAGGGTCTTTTATGAACAGTTTTTTTTTTCTATTCAAATACTTCTTGAGTGTAACGTCTTGCTTTGGATTACATGTTAGGTACTAGGGATCCAACAACACATGATCAAAATAGCTCTCATGGAACTTATTTGCTTGATTCATTTCATAATTTAGTTCTATAAAAATCTTTTCCTTATGAAGAGGTTTGTATTTCCTTTTTGTCACAGTAGAGTAAGGATATTTATAATTACTTTATGCCTGAATTTCCTGTTTGACTTTGATTTCTGGTTTGTTTTTTTTTTTCGGTATGGGGATCGAACTCGGGTCCTTGTGCTTGTGAGGCAAGCGGCAGAACCACTGAGCTGAATCTCTGGCCCTGATTTATATGTTAGCGTGGGAGAAAAATCTCTTTCTTTTACTTAAAAAAAACCCAAAATGCCTAGGCTGGGGAGTTAGCTTAGTGGCAGAGCAGTTGAAGCATGTGAGAGGTTCTGGGTTTAATCCCTGGCACTGCAAAGAGAATGGAAAGAAAAGGGAGCAGCTGGGGATTTAGCTCAGTGGTTCTAGTGCCTGCCGCGCAAGCACAAGGTCCCAAGTTCAATCCCTGGTACCAAAAAAAAAAAAAGACTAGAAAAGGGAGCAGAGCCAGGTGTGGAGGGCAGACGGTGCCCCAGCCAGCACTCATTAGGCTGAGGCCAGAGGATTTGACTTAAGTAGCCCAGGCCACATGGCAACTTCATCTGTAAGTAAATAAGAAAATAATAAACTCCTGTGTGTATTTGTCAATACATATGTTCCTGAAGCCAGCACTCTGGATGTTTTTTTGTTTGTTTGTTTTGGTACTGGGGATTGAACTCAGGACCTTGCGCTTGAGAGGCAGGTGGTAGAACCACTGAGTTAAATCCCCAGCCCTGGATATTATTTTTAAGACTCCTAAATTAGGACAAATAATACCTTTTTTGGGTTTATGTCCACTGCTTACTTCCAGAATTGCTTACAACAGTAATGTGTTATAAACATCAAATGGATTCCTAGGTGGCAAATGACTGTTATTTTGCTCAGTACTTGTTGATCAGATATCTCCTCTGACATTTTTTTTTTTTTTTTTTGTACTGGGGATCGAACTTGGATCCTTGCGTTTGTGCAGCAGGCGGCGAAACCACTGAGCTAAATCCCTGGCCCTCCTCTGACATTTATTAATGTGAATTATGTTCAGAATATCATGCTAAACAGCCTTTAATTTAATTAGCATTATTGGACATATGGAATAGTTTTACTGTTTAAGGTAACAATACAAATTTTAATTATTACAGAATATATCACTGATGTCCATTTGAATGAACTGTCTACACCACAGATCCTTCCATCAAATGATGGTATTAATCCACGTTTATCAGCAAGCCCTCCTAAATCAGGCAATTTGTGGCCAGGATTGGCGCCCCCACACAAGAAAGGTAAAAAGTTTTCCTCACTCAGATTCCTTTGCTTTGGTTCTTAATTTAGAAAGCCAACTGTGATATTTTACAATTTAAAATGTTACTTATGAAATATTATTTATCCTTTAAAAATGATAGTAGAATTCTATACAACAATGATTTAAAATTTTTTTTTTTGTATATGGCACTGATTTTAAAAGTTTATTTAAACTCAGGTGTGGTGGCACACACTTGTAATCCCAGCCCTCGGGAGGCTGAGGCAAGAGGGAGTTCCAGGCCAGCCTGGGATACGTAGTGAGTTCAAGGCCAGCTTGAACTACTGGTGAGACTCTGTCTCCAAAAGGAGGGGAAGGAGATATTTGCAAATTACATAGCTGACAAAAAATTTATATCCAGAAATACATAAAGGATTCTCAATAATAGAGTCCTAAGCCAGGCACGATGGTGCAACCTGTAATTTAATTCCAATACTCTGGGAGGCTGGGAGGACTGCAAGTTCAAGCCCAGCCTGGGCAGCTTAGTGACTTAATGACACGCTGTGTCAAAATAAAAAAGGGCTGGAGATGTAGCTAAGTGCACATGCCCTGGGTTCAATCCCCAGTATCACCAACTAAAGAAAGAAAAAAATCCTTTGATCATGTAAAAACCTTACTTGTATGTAAAACAAGCAAGTGCGGTGAAAGCAGAAATACTGTGAAGTCACAAGACAGAACCCTTTATCTCATCTTAATCTTCCCCTTTTCACTTTCTAATCTCTTTTCCTCTTTTTGTTTTGTTTTTGTTTTTGGTATCAGGGATTGAACTCTGGTCCTTGCACTTTGAGGCAGGCTGAGGAACCACTGAGCTAAATCCTTGGCCCTCTTTCCCTCTTTTTGACCTGCAGAACATAAATGTCATAGTGATGAGTCTATACTCTTATTTTGCAATGGAAAAAAATATTTCAATATTGCACTAAATCAGAATTTTTTCTTTTTCTTTCTTTTTTTTTTTTCTGATACCAAGAGTTGAACTCAGGACCTTTCGATGCCAGGCAGGCTCGGTGCCACTTAGCTAAATCCTGGGCCCTTTGAATTTTTTGATTTTCCTTTACATATATTTATAGTGACCAAGAATCATAAATACATGTAAAAACAAAACCCTCTTAGCCTTGTCTCATTGGTTTACTTGTTTAACAAAATGTTCTGTAAGAGTATTTTGAAAATTTCTCTACAGCATAGTAATCTTTAATGTTAAATATGCTAGAGAAAAATGGTAATGGAAGTATTTTGTTCTTTTAAGAGATGTTCTACACTTGTTTTTCAATCTTAGCTCAGTCTGCATCTCCAAAGAGAAAGAAACAGCACAAGAAATACAGAAGTGTAATTTCAGACATCTTTGATGGGACAATCATCAGTTCAGTACAGTGTCTGACTTGTGATAGGGTGAGTATGAGGGAATCACAATACATAACATTTCTGTCAAATACTTTTTTTAATCTGAAAAATAATATGAAAGATTTAATTTCTTATTACTACTGTTGGTCATACATACATTTCTTGTGTTTGAATTAATATAAATTGACGCTAGGAGCAGAATTCACTTTTTTGTAAGTATCAGCAGCGTTCTTTTTTTTTTTTTCCCCTTTCTAAGTTCTTTTATTGGTACATTATGGGTATGCAATTCATTTACATTTATCATTGGGTGTTTGTACCTGTACATGATGTATCTTGGTTCTTAGTTTTTTCCCATTCCCTGTGCGCCCTTCTCCCCCTCCTCCCTTCCCTATTTACACACACATCATTTACATTTTTTTTTTTCTTTTCTCATAGTTTTTCCTTTCCCTCCTTTCCTTTCTCCTTCCCCTCCCTTCACCCCTTCGTCTTTGGACCTTTTTTCCTATTTCAAATTATCAGTTATTCATTTTAATCATTTTAACCCTTGTTTACACTATCAGTTTCTCACACTAGTGAAACTATTCAGTATTTACACATGTGTGTCCTATTTATTTCACTTAAGAGTATGGCCTCTGTATGCATCTATTTAGCTATAAATGACTAGTTTTTCGTTCTTTATGGCTGAGTAGTACTCCATTTTATAAAAAAAACCACGTCTTTATCCGGTTTCCAATTGATGGGCACTTGGGCTGCTTCCAAGCTTTAGCTGTTACAAACTGTGCCAGCAGTATTCTTTTTAAAGGATGGATCTTGACCCATCCTTGGACAGACATAAGTTATCAGGAAAGACTACTTACTGCTTTGTCTGTTTTGATTACAAGTAAAAGTGAGAAGTTGCCCAGCAACAGGAATTGTTAAGATGCACACATTTTCCCAAGGCTGATGAAGTATGCTGGGAAATTAGCTGTTCATGGGCACAAGGCAATAAACATATCTTTTACATTTGGTTTTACTTACGGCTTGTAAATATTTCCTGTGTTAACATTGGGGCTCAGATAGTAACAGTCAAATTCATAGGCAAAAACAAGGACATAAATTAGAATAATAAATTCTTTAGTAACATTTCTGTCAAAATTTCTTAGCTTTTTAAAATTATGGTTTAATTTTAGTGCGGTAATGAATATAATTAATAAATATGATGTCTCAAAGACAAAACTGAGTTTTCAGTTACTATGTTACACTCTTAAATCATTCAATGGGTCATTGTCTGGTGGGTTATTTGGGGCTCGGGATGTAGCTCAGTTGTAAACTGTGCTTACCTAGCATGTGCAAAGCTCTGGGTTCAATACCTGGGGGGACCCCCCCCCCCAATAGATGTTTTGGCTGAGTGTGGTGCAACACTTGCAATCTCAGTTTCTCCAGAGGCTGAGGCAAGGATTGCAAGTTTGAGGTTTCCCTAGACAATGAGATCTTGTCTCAAAATTTAGAAAAATAAAAAGGAGTGGAGATGTAGCCCAGCATTCCTGGGTTTCAGTCTCCAGTACCACACACATAAAAGGAGGTTATTTGCTATTCACAAATGTTTTCAGCTTCAGTTATGTGCTACATAACAATGTTTTAGTCAGTGACAGACTGCATATGTAACAGTGGTCTAGAAAGACTGTCCTGCCGATGTTAGAGCTATCTTGGTTTGTGTGAGTACTCTGATGTGTGCACAGTGATGAGGTCACCTAAAACAATACATTGTCACAATGTCTCCCCATTGCTCAATAGTGCATGACTGTGTTTAAAATTACCTACTAGGTTTTGTATCTTCTCCTTTTTAAGCAACATTTAAAAACTTGTCATCAGCCTGTAGTCCCAGCTACTTGGAAGGCTGAGGTGGGAAGATCATTGGAGCCTAGGATTTCAAGACCAGCCTGGGCAACATAGCCAGAGTTGGAGTTCAGGCCACAGTGGCTGGGTTTGGGGTATTCTCAGAGCCACAATGCCCATTACGCATCGGGAGCCATGCAGCGGCACCGTACAGGTTTATATGAAGATTAAAGTGAGAACAGTACCTGGTACAGAGCAAAATTTTTTGCTGGTATTATTATAAAACTAATTACTATATATGAGTTTGGGCTTATTTTGCTTATTATAACTTGCTTTGATCTTTGGTACCCACAGTCTAACCTTATAAATGTTGGTACTGGATTATTTTTATCTCATTTTTAAAACACAAAACAATTTTAGGTGTCTGTAACCCTCGAGACCTTTCAAGATCTGTCCTTGCCAATTCCTGGCAAGGAAGACCTTGCTAAGCTGCATTCATCGAGTCATCCAACTTCTATAGTCAAAGCAGGATCATGTGGGGAAGCGTATGCTCCACAAGGCTGGATAGCTTTTTTCATGGAATATGTAAAGAGGTATGTATTTATTTTCTTTGTTTTGATTGATTCCTGAAACTGCTGTTTCTGCTGTACTGGCAGAACACTTCCTTTTTCCTTCTGTCAATAATGTTTCAGGTTTGTTGTCTCATGTGTCCCTAGCTGGTTTTGGGGTCCAGTAGTAACCTTGCAAGATTGTCTTGCTGCCTTCTTCGCCAGAGATGAACTAAAAGGTAAGAATCAGAATCTCTTTGTCTCTGAATTGCTGTGGGTGAGCCTAAAACTGAATTTTAGGGCAGTTTAAATAGTATTTATTCATATTTATTCATATACCCCAAAGCTGGTATCTACTGTGCATTAGTAACACAAGAAGAAAGATCATATCCTGAAGGAATTGATACAGATTCCTGTAGTACCAGACAACATGGCTTAAAGCTGTTCAGGATTCAAAGAAGGCAAAACTCAACCAAAACAATGGGACATATTTTTGCATCTTGAATTGTCTGTGAACTCCTCCATACCACTTAAGGTCCTTCACTGTTTTCATGTATCCAGTACCTTGCTTGAACCGTCAGGCTGTCAGTAAATTTTGTTCAGTGAATAAATGAAAGATGTGATTTGAGGTAGCCCTTCATAGTAGAGGGAGGAGGAGGGTGTTTTAGGTAAGGTAAACATGAGATGACTCATGAGCTTAGACTAAAAAAGTGAGCCCTGTTCTACTGTGCTAGCATGTGGCAAAATCAAAGAATTGTAGAACCAAAAGAAAAGAGTTTGCTGTTAATTTGAGATGAATGACTTAATCTGTTATCTTTGCAGGTGACAATATGTACAGTTGTGAAAAATGTAAAAAGTAAGTGACAGAGCTTTTAATTTCATATTTTGTATTTTTCTTGGTTATGAATTGGGCATGTGGAGTTACACATGACACTACATTTAGAAAAATACAGGCCAGAAAACTTTGTCTTAGTAATTATAAAAAGATTTGATTGCTTTGTAAAACAAATTTGAGGCAAAATTTTTGACAAATGTAATAGGCTTATGTAAGATGTTAAAAAAAATGTATGTATTTTGGGCCGGGGATTTAGCTCAGTGGTTCTGCTGCCTGCCTTGAAAGCGCAAGGTCCTGAGTTCAATCCCGGGTACCAAAAATAAATAAATAAACAAATAAACAAACAAATAAATAAGTAAGTGAGTAAGTAAGTATGTATTTTGAGGCACTATGTGAGTTTGTGTTAAACATTTTCTAAAATAAGGCAACATTTTCTTCTGATTACTGTTATTAACAGGCCAGATTCAGGAAGTACAAGGTACTGTAGTTTCAAATCTTCATAAAATTCAGAAAGGTTATGCCAACTCTGATGCTGTCTGCTGTTATGACAGAATAGGACCTGATTTTGTTTGTATCTACTATCAGCTGCCATTTCTGTCTTATAATAAATTAATACTTAATGCCTTTTGGTGGTAAGTCATAAAAAATGATTGACGACTTGATAAAGGGGAATTTTTATTTTTTATGGTGCTAGGAACTGAATCTAGGGCCTCACACATGCCAGGCAAGTGCTCTTGTACTGTGCTACATCCCCCACCAAAGACCAGTTTTTTCCTTTGGTTTTATTTGAGACAAAGTCTAGCTATATACTTCAGGCTGGCCTTCAGCTCACTTTGTAGCCCAGGCTGGCCTCGAATTCACGGCAGTCCTCCTGTTTTAGCCTCCTGAGTGTTGGGATTACAGGTGTGTGTAACCATGCCCAGCAGCAGATATTTTTTGCCAAGGAGCCCTTGATGTGCAGCTGTTGGTCTTTTTCATGACAGAAAGGTCACTTTGGTCAGTGAACGTGAAAACACACTGTTTGGTCAATGAAGGTGAATAGCAGCTTGGTATTTTCGGAAATGTGTCAGCATTTTGTCCTTCAAGGCCTCGCTGACAGCTGAACAGGTAGTTTGCCTGGAGAGGGATCCTTCCTTGGAGAAGGCAGTACAGGCTGCAAAAGAGAAAATAGTGAAGAAGGTAGTCTCCCACATCCAAAGTAGAGATCTGTCAAGTGTACATTAATACTGATTATTAATAATAACTGTGCTTTATATCAAGGGTTTTTTCCCCTCCACATTATGAATAAAGGTTTTAGGGCCGGGGATTTAGCTCAGTGGTTTCGCTGCCTGCTACGCAAGCGCAAGGACCCGAGTTTGATCCCCGGTACAAAAAAAAAAAGAAGGTTTTGTGCTGGGTACAGTGATGTGTGCCCGTGGTCCCAACTACTTGAGGGGCTGAAGAAGATTGCTTGAGCCCAGGAGTTTGCAGCCATCCTGGACAACATAGCAAGATGCTGTCTTAAAAAAAGAATGAAGGGTTGGGGATTTAGCGCAGTGGTTCGCCACCTGCCCTGCAAGCACAAGGACCAGAGTTTGAGCTCTGGTACCAAAAAGAAAGAAAGAAAAGGGCCAGGAATTTAGTTCAGTAGTGCTGCCGCCTGCCTCGAAAGCACAAGGTCCTGAGTTCGATCCCCAGTAACCCCCCCCAAAAAAGAGAAAGGTTTTAGTATACAGTATTGACCTGAACTAAAATTTTATAAAATTTAGGTTTTGCTTTATGCAGTTTTATTTAATATCTGGATGTTACAAAGATAAAGTCAGATAATAGACAGTAGTACGTTTGTTAAAAAAAATTTCTTTTTCATCAAAGAATTGCAGAACTTCCTAAATTTGTATTACTGATATCTTGGTTTAAATGGTTTTGCAGAGTATAGGACTCCCAAGTGTAAATATGCAATATAATTCAGAGTGAGCATTTGTAGTCATACTTTTTATCTTCATTTTAAAAAATATTTTTGTGGTATATTTAAATACACATTTTCCCTCTTTTTTTTCACCCTTAGGTTGAGGAATGGAGTGAAGTTTTGTAAAGTACAAAAGTTTCCTGAGGTATGAGCTTCAATTAAATTTATTTTCTGTAGTAAACCATTAATGAAATACAGTGTAGTAATAAATTCTGTTACCATGATTCAAGAATGGAATGGTTCTATCGACCAGTTGTCATTTGTACTTAATTATGATTGTTTAATTTTAAAAATAATTGGGTTATGTTTTGTAAGTGGTCCTAATGGTATACCGTGCTGAACATGGAGTAATCAGACACGGTAAGATCTTGCCAGGTATAAATTTAGAAAACAAATAGCGTTGAACTTAGGAAGAACCTTGTTTCACTGTTTCCATATTTTTGACATCCCTGGAATCAGGTTATAAATTTCTGACTACTAAGGGTTGATATTTAATCTTGATACTTCAATATGAATAGATTCCCTTAGGCTGTAAAACTAAAGAAAAAAATTTTTTTGTTTTTTGGTACTGAGGATCAAACTTGGTACCTTGTGCTTGCCAGGGAGGCAGCAGAATCACTGAGTTAAATCCCTGGCCCCTAAAGAAAATTTTTAACTAAAAATTACAAATAGAATTTACTTTATTTCATTTTGACCAAACACCTTGATTTCTTGCTTGTTGAATTAAAATCTTAATGTATTAAGTGTAACTACTTGAATGCTTTTCATGTTTTGTAACAACAATTAGGGTTTTGAATTTTATTTTCTTTTAGATTTTATGTATCCACCTTAAAAGATTCAGACATGAACTGATGTTTTCCACCAAAATCAGCACCCATGTTTCATTTCCACTGGAAGGCCTGGATCTTCAGCCATTTCTTGCTAAAGATAGTCCAGCTCAGATTGTGACATATGACCTTCTGTCAGTCATTTGTCATCATGGGACTGCAAGTAGTGAGTATACAGGTTTGACATTTGTTCTTAGATTGAAAAAATACATAAGATGAAAAACTTAAAAATAGATTTTACTGCTGGTTATTAAAAACATAGACATCCAACACAAAAGAAATGTTGTGTTTAGTGAAATAGAAATGGTAATTACCCTAATGTGACTATATATATAAAGGTGTGTCTAGTCCCATAAATATGTACAATTATTATGTCAGCAAAAGAAAAATCAGACCATTTCATTAAATTGGATAGTTTTTACTATTATGTTTGAAATATTGGAAATTATATTACATAAGATTAAATACCAAGAACTTTAACATAATCTTAGAAATCTCCTGTGGGTTTTTAAGGTTAAATTTTCTGTCCTTTATGAAATCACAACTCTTGATATATTTCATCTGCTGTGGTAGACACTGAGGATACAAAAAGTTTATACTCCAGGGCTGGGGATTTAGCTCAGTGGTTCCGCCGCCTGCCCCGCAAGTGCAAGGACCTGAGTTCGATCGCCGGTATCAAAAAAAAAAAAGTTTATACTCCATTCTTGTGTTAATTTATATCACTGTAATGATTTCTTTTCCCTTAAACATAGGTGGACACTATATAGCCTATTGCCGAAACAATTTAAATAATCTGTGGTATGAATTTGACGATCAGAGTGTCACTGAAGTTTCAGAATCTACAGTACAGAATGCAGAAGCTTATGTTCTTTTCTATAGGTAATCGAAGTCACTGTCTCATGGACCAACTAGCTTTACACACAGCGAAGGAACATCTCACTCTTTGGGGTTATGGATTGCTGAGTGGAGATGAAGAATTATTTATTCTCATTAGAGTAAAATATAGTTAAAAAGGTTGTCTAGAGAATGACATTTGTCTGTCTAGAGCATGAAAATGTTAAATCATTTAAGGGAAAGACAAAGGGGTGTATTTTGTTTTAGAAAGATTGGTTTTAATTTTAAAAAGCAGGCAGTAACAATTATCAAATTTCTTCCTAAAATAGCTAATAAAGGAAATATTACTATAAAAATCTTTCAATATCTTCTGAAAGGAAACACTAGCTAGGAACACAGATTAACTGTTTAGCTCGACCTTAAAAACATTTGGATACTTACCATGTGCTAGTAGTTATATGGGCACCACTAGTTAGGACACTGTATTGGCCCTAGAGGTGAATAACACATTTGAGAGGCAGTACAACATATATTTCTCTTCGAATTATGAAGGCCTATCCCCGGTATCCAATAAAAAAAAAATAATGAAGGCCTGATAAGACCCAGAGTATTAGTATGTATGCTAAGTCTAAAAAGGAAGAGGATCGCTTCTTGGCCTTTTGGTTAAGATCAGGTGTAAAAAGGAAGAGGAAAAATCAACCTACTAGTCTAATGTAGTAAAAAAAAAATACTGAATTTGATGAATCATTGTCCTTAAATAGGAAGAGCAGTGAAGAGGCACAAAAAGAGAGACGAAGGATATCAAATTTGTTGAACATAATGGAACCAAGCCTCCTTCAGTTTTATATTTCTCGACAGTGGCTGAATAAATTTAAGACCTTTGCTGAACCTGGCCCTATTTCAAATAATGACTTTCTCTGCATTCATGGAGGTAAGAAATCCTGTCAAAGTAGAGAAAGAAATTCGCTGTTACTTTGTAAATTAGGAAAGATCTGAGAATTTTCCTCTTCCACTTATTTCCCATTGCCCCATGTGCTGTCCAGTTGAATGAGTTTAATTCTGTATGGTTTCAGAAATTGGCCATGCCTTTCTAATCATGGGTAGTGTGTAGCCTCTCTATTGAGTACCTGTTTGAAATGCTGTGTTAGAACATAAGGATACCAGAGACCTTATTTCTGTAGGCAAAGCTCTAATTGCATAGCAAATTCAGATGCATAAACAACTAATTATGGTACAGTAAATCTTCTGTTCACATAATTCTTATCTGAGTCATTCCATTGTTAGTGATTTCAGCTGCTGTTTATATCCAGTTCTTAGTGCTTTTGAACATTTTTTTTTTTTTGTACTGGGGATCGAACTCAGGACCTTGTGCCTGCAAGGTAGGCGCCGGAACCACTGAGCTAAATCCCCGGCCCTCTTACTGCTTTTGTATAAATAAATAATTGGCTCTTTTCCTAAGTGTGGAAATGTATTTGGGATTTAATAAGGAACCTTCATTTTGGACAGTCACAGTGGCACATGCCAGTAATCTTAGCACTCTGGGAGGTTGAGGCAGGAGGATTTTAAGTTTGAGCCCAGCCTGGGCCATTTAGCAATGTAGCGAAACCTTATTTCAAAATAAAAAATAAAGAACAGCTGTGGATGCAGCTTTGTATGAAGGCCCTCTGTTTAATCTCCAGTACTGGAAGAAAATGCCTTCATTTTGTTAAATACAACTTATGCCTTTATGATGGGCTGTGCTAGTGTTTGTTCCTGAAATAATCAAGACCTTTGTGTAATGCTTTAATGAAACTTTCTGGTTGAAGTCTCAATATTCTCATTAATTACATGTATAGTGAAACCACAAGGGATGAGGTATCCTATATTGCATATAGAAACCTAAACTTTAAAAATATTTCTGGGCCTTAGGATATAGCTCAGTGGTAAAGGACATGCTTAGTTTGTACAAGGCCCTGGTTTCACCCCCCACTTTCCTCCCCCCGCAATTCAATATGTGAATTTCAAGGTATATACAGTATTCGTCTTTAGGAAACATAATTTAAAGGAATTAAAGAATAAGGTAGACCTATCTAAATTTTTTTCAGGTGTTCCTCCACGAAAAGCTAATTATATTGAAGACTTGGTTTTGATGCTGCCTCAGAACATTTGGGATAACCTATATAGCAGGTTTGTTTAAATGAAATAGTACAGTATTGTGAAAAATCAGTTAAATGTGCTTGAAGGGGATTGGATTTTTTCACAGATGCTCCTTGTGCTATGTGTTGCTTATGTAGAGCAACCCTTTCTTGTTCATTTATTCTTCTGAACTGTAAGTAGGAACATATAGCTAGTGTGTCCCTAGTCTAGATAATTCTAATTTTCATGTCCTGATTATTTGTCCATGAAGACAAGCTATGTTATTTAATTTAAAGTACTTTATTTAAAAGATGTTGTACTGGGGTGTGGTGGCGCATGCCTGTAATTCCAGCACTTGGGAGGCTGAGGCCGGAGGATTGCCATGACTTTGAAGCCAGTGTGAACTACATAATGAGTTCAAGGCCACCCTGTACTACATAGCAAGACCCTGTCTCAAAAAGCAAAACAAAACAAAACAAAACAAAAGATGTATCATATGCCCAACACTAAAATTTTACATGTATATACTCCCAAAATTGAATATTCTTACTTTTTTTTTTTTTTTTGGTACTGGGGATCGAACTCGGGTCCTTGCGCTTGTGCAGCAGGCGGTGAAACCACTGAGCTAAATCCCCGGCCCCTTACTCTTAAGTTTTATTGTAAAATATTTTGCATCAGAATTTCCATACCAGTTGTTTGCCTCAAATATTAAAATTTATACCTGAATGCTTCTTACTTGAAAGGCAAGTTTCATCTGATTAAAACTTGACTGGGCTGGGGATCTAGCTCAGTAGCGGCATGGCAAGCCTGCCTTGCAAGCACAAGGTCCTGAGTTCTATCTCCAGTACCAAGAAAACCCCCAACTTGACTATGGTTTCATATGTGTAACTGAAATTTACTGTATGCTAATTTGAAAAAAATCATTTCTTTTACTTTGTTGTTGCCTTTGACATTTTGTAGCAGAAGTAGGTATAAGAGAAAGTGGAAATGTAGATAAGGAAGGTTAGGCAATACATTGATAAAGTTGTTTACTCTAAAATCAAGTTCTTATATAAATTTTTGATTTTTACATTACTTTGAGAATCTTCCTATGAGGAATTATTCTTACTGGGAGTTCAGCCATTGCCTAAGAAACTAGAAACTACAGTATTTTGTAGAACATCAGCTTTCTTTGAGATTGTCATGATTTTAATTTTGAGGTTTTCATGTTTTAGATATGGAGGAGGACCAGCTGTTAACCATCTGTACATTTGTCATACTTGCCAAATTGAGGCAGAGAAAATTGAAAAAAGAAGAAAAACCGAGTTGGAAATTTTTATTCGGGTAAAGAAAATAAAGCTTTTAAAATTGTAAATGATGTAGGATAAAGATGAGGACCTCACAATTAGCAGAACTATATCATGTTAATGAAATGATTGAGTGAAAGCATTTTAATAGATTTGAGGTGTTCTCATTGCCTAACATTACTGGTTGGCCCTATTGAGTCATTGACCTCACTATAATTCTAGTGGGTTAAATTCTCCCTTTGTGGGTATTTATTTTTATGAATTAGAAATAAATTTTGTTTTATGTATTGCCACTGACAAGAAATTTCCTTATTAAAATGGACAATTTTAGGTGTCTTTGTTAATGTTATATACCCAGACTGTACTCTTTCTGTCCTTGTGTGAAATACATTGTCTTTTGGGGACTCCCTGCTTATCAGTATGGCTTGTTTCTTCAGAGGGAATATGTTATGAGGCATTCCTTGATGGTAAACTTCAGAAAGTCTGCTCACAGAGTGAAAGAGCTTATAAAGCAGCTTTTATAGGCAAGGCCCAGTATTGTTCCACTTACCTGGATAGCAAGAAGTCTCTTTGAGGCACTGCTGTCCGTGACACAGCTCCACCTGCTTAAAACAGCCTCACGTTCGTTCCCCCCAGAGTCGTGCAATTGACAGTCCTGGTAGGGCAGCATCACGGGGAGAAATAACATTGCAGGAGAAGATGAAGATTCTGTTAGTAAAGGCAGGGGAGAAGATGTTGAGCAGATCAAATTAAGATGCCCAGTATATTCCAGGTGGGTTATTTAGAGGGTGCCCAGAAGGCACAAGATGCAGCCCTTAGTTGTCGACATTGCTAAGTGAAATCAGATTCTTGGGAGGATGCTTGGAGGTAATGGCAAAACACTATTGGAGCTAACTGCAGATGTCCCAAGCCTGCTCACTGCTGCCAGCAGAGGAAAAAGGTTTTCTTTCTCTTGTGCCTTCCATAAATCACGGATGTCATTGGTAGTGGCCAGTCAGAGCACTGTTGGCAAGGGGTCCTGGAAAATGTGGGCTTCTTCTCACAGAAAGGAGTAGAAGTATGAATGGAAATGTTGCTCGTTAGCTGACAAGGCATACAGTTTGCTTCTGTCACCCACATGGACTCACTCATCCAGACAGTAGTAACTTGCTTCTGCCTCTCATACAACTTGCTCATGTGCCAGCACATGTTGCATTTACTTTTTCCCTGAATTTGGGAAGACCCAAAGTCCCACCCATTACTATTTCTCAATGGTGGTCATTTATCCTTTGGTTGAGTGTAGTCACAATGTTTCTTTTATAATCTGTAAACTAGATAATACTAAGGTTTGGAGTGGAGCTCAGTGATGAGCATTTGTCTACCATCCATGAAGCCCTGGGTTCAATCCTTACCACCACAAAAATCCCAAACAAACAAAACCTATGTTAACCACCACTGTTATACCTAATAATAGTAATGGACTGAAAAAGAAAAGAAATTGGCAGTTGTTTACATGGAGCAGGCAAGAAATACGTGTCTACAACTGGTCACTACCCATTCCATATTTCCTGTGTTCTCAGCCAGCACCTCAGCTGGTTGCGGCTGTGGCTACCTGGGAAAGTAATTCAGCCCTTCATTCCTGAATGTGGTTTTTACTTATTAGATTTCTATAGTCTGTTAACTTTTAACCTCTGGGTAAATAGTGCCTTAGTGGGTAGAATGGTGGTTCCCAAAAAGATATTTCCATGCCCTAGTTCCTGTGAATTGACCTTATTGATGGATGTGACCTTATTTGAAAAAGGGCCTTTGCATATGTAGAGATTTTAAGATGAAATCATCCTGAATTTATGTGAGAGCACTGAATCCAGTAAGTGATCCCTTAAAGAGACCAATAGGGGAAAGATAACACAGAGAAAGAAGTGAAAGCCATGTGAAGACAGAGGCTAGGACCAGAGTGGTGCCTCCACAAGGCAGAAGTGTGAAGAGGTGAGGGACAGAATCTCCTCTAGTCTCTGCAGGGAACACAGTCCTCCTAACACTTTGATTTTTGATTTCTGGACTCCAGAACCATGAGAGTAAATAGCTCTTTTCAGCCCCCAAGTTTGTGATAGTTTGTTATGGCAGCCTTCTGAAACTAACACAATGGTTATAATCTCTGGTTTCCAGACACAGTCCTCTTTGCTCTTACAGTATAGCAGCCATCTGGTTCATCTTTTATACTGGGACACATTCTAGCCAGTAGTATAACCCCTCCCCCTTTGCCTCTTGGCTCAGTAACATGAGAAACTCCAAATAGGCAAGGGGCTGTCTCAATTTCCAGTCCAGTAAGGGTATTGTTATATCACGTTGGAAACCAAATCCTCCAAACTAGAATAGGCCAAAGTTGTGGATATGGGAAGCAAAGCTTCTGTGTTAGGAGGTAGTGGTAGATGAGCTCTCCCACTTCATTTACCTGGCTCCTAGCTTCAGGTATTCTGGCTATGGGAAAGACTACATATATTGGTTTCTATTTTTGGGGGGGGGTACCGGGGATCAAACTCAGGACCTTGCACTTTCCAGGCAGGCGGCAGAACCACTTAGCTAAATCCCTGGCCCTGTTGGTTTGTAATTTAGACCATTTACCACATTATGTAGGACAGTACCAAATCTACAGAGTTGCCAACAGGTACAAAAATTGAGTCTTTGATAGACCAGCAGTTTTAGGGTGGTAGCACATGATAAGATCACTGAATCTTATTGATATGACCCAATTTCTTATTTGGTATAAAATAAATGTCACAATCAGAAGCAGTGTGGGTAAGGGTATTATGGCAATGAATGAGATTTGCATTAAGTCCAAGAATGAGTGTAGGTTACAAAGGTAGACCCAAATCCTGAGTTGCATGTCATCAAAGGACTTATACCTACCCAAACTACATAAAGACTTCATATAAGTCAGTAAGTAGGCAGATATTTCAATTAAAAAATAAGTGAAAGATTTGAATAGACATTACTCCTGAGAAGTTATGGCTAATAAGCTCCTGGAGAAACACAGTCTCAGTCAGTAGGGGGTTCTTATATGAATATTAATGGTGATAATGCAAAACGCTACATGCTAAATGATAAATCATTTGGTAATTTAGAGATTCAACACTTAGCATATGACCCAGAATTTCCATTCCTAGGTATTTACTCAGAAAAATGACAACTTATGTTCATATAAGATCTGTAAACAAAAGTTTATAGTAGTATTATACTTAAATTGCCCCAAATTACTTTATTTTATTAAATTTATTTATTTATTTTTTCCAAATTGGTTTTAACAAAGCAAGTGTGTTAGTATAAAAAGTAATGCTGATGCACAAACATAAGTATACTTGATAAACTGGAAATTAAGTAGAGTTTTTGAAAAATTGGAAAAGCAAATGGGATCAAATTGAAGAAGCAAACCAAAGGCCACACCATGAGCACAAGCTTTAAGCTTGCCAGTGTCAGATACCATGAAGACCTTTGCATTCTACCTGCTGTGTTGTGCCAGGCAGCAAATATAAAGACGTTCACCTGGATAGAGGAGTGAATGTGGCCACAGAAATGTGAATGTTTTTCAGGAAGATGAATAAGGATATCATACTAAAAACAAACCCAGTAGGGGAATGGATTAATAAGGGGAGGGGGCAGAATAAGTACTGATGGAGAGTAGAAGGATTTCTCCTAAGATAAAGTTCAAAGGATAAACAGATGGTAAGCAGGAAGAAAAGTTTCTCAACACAATTGGGTAGATGTAGAATCTAGTATTTCCAATATTTATTTCTGAAGAGAGAATAGAGGGGAAGAACTACTCTTAGAGCAACAGTTTAGCTAAGGAAATTTCCCAGAATTGGAGAAGAATATGTCCTTGATGGGGTGATTGTGTTTAACTAAATTTTAAAAAGCCCCCATCTAGATGCAAAGATTAAGTCCTGAAAGTCTAAACCTGATAATGATATGAATTTAATAGGTCTTATAATTCAGCATCTGGCAGAATCAGTCTCACCACCTTTTCAGAAATCTTACTTCTCTCAAGTTTTATCTCATGGAAAGCACTAACTTAATCTGAGGTCTTGATCCAAGCAGGCCTTCATTTCTAAAGCCATCAGAGGCAGCCACAGTATTTTCCACTCCCTTCCATTGCTCCGTTGAAGCAGTTACTTTTCCCCCAGAAAGATCCTTGCCCTCCAAGAGATCACATTTAATTGCATGTTGCATATTAAAAGTTCAAGGGCTGGGGATTTAGCTCAGTGGTTCCGCTGCTTGCTTTGCAAGCACAAGGACCCAAGTTCTATCCCTGGTACCAAAAAAAAAAAGTTCAGAAACTGTGGAAAAGGAAAAATACTGAGCCAGTAAGGATAGTGGGAGGTTGCCATTTTAAACAGAATGGTCAAGACAGCCTCCATGGAGAAGGTAACATTTAAGCAAAGACTTGAAGGAGGTGAAGCAGGTGTCATTTAGATAACTATAAACAAAAGGACTAGCTAGTGCCATAGCCTTGAAAAGCAGCAATGCAACTCATTAGTTCTGGAAATAAAATGAGGAAGAAAACAGAAGATAAAGTCAGATCATGGAGATGCTTCTGGTCTGTTACAAAGATCTTTGGGGACAGTTGCAGGGTCTTGACTAGATTTAACTAGAGGAATGGCATAATCTGAACTTGGTTATCTTTGTCCACAGCTGTTATAAGCCACAGGCAGGCAGTTGCCCAAATGAAATACTTTTAGGCCTAAATCTATTACATTTAGGTAAATTCCAAGTATCCTTCCTTTCCTTGAGGTTCTGCTGTCTCTTTCTATACCAGTTTTTCTATCAGTGGGATTTCTTTAGTTGCCAACAGAAGTCAGACTGGCTAACTTAAGCAAAAATGAAATTGATCGAAAATAAAAATGAATAACCAGACCTCCAGAAGTTTGAGAATCAAGGTAGCCCTGAGAATCTAGTTAACAAAAGTTGACATTGGAATGATTCCATTTTAACTATTAGGCCACTCCCTTGAAGAGTTTCATTTTTAGTAGAGTTATTCTTAGTTGGAATTCCATACCCTCTCCCTAGGCCTTGGGGCTGGAAGAAGGGAATGGAACAGTGTCAGTTTGTCCCATCACTGTGGAGAATTTGCCTGCACATGTATATTGCCCATAAAGTGACATGTGTAAGATTATTTGTGGGGTGGTGGTAGTAGCAGATTGTATCTTAATTGAAGTAAGATGTATCTAGATAATGGATATAGAATGTTTAATTTTTTATAAATGTATGGAGTAGTAACTCATACATTTTATATGGAGTAGTTTTGAAGACTGCCTTGACCATCTTCACTTATCCAGTCTTTTTTATATCCTTTTGTATGAGCTTGTTAAATTTTTCCTTTCATTTTGGGGACAGGGTCTTACTATGTAGTACATGCTGCCCTTACTGCAGTTGTTTGGCCTCAGCCTCATGAGTGCTGTGATTATAGGTGTGCACCACCACGCCCAGCTTGTGCTGCTACCACATATCCTTACACTAAAATTACTTAGCTAATATCAGTATGCATTCTATTATAGTACCATATTCTGTGTATATGAGAAATTGGCTTTAATCAGATGCTTAGCTGAGTTTACATGCCTGTGATCCTAGCACTTGGAAGGCTGAGGCAGGAGGATTGCTCTGAGTTTAAGGCCAACCTGTGCTACATAGTGAGTCCAAGGCCACTGTGTCTTGAAAAACCAAAACAAACAAAATCCACACACACAAAAACAACCCAGATGCTTAAGTAGAGTGATTGTATTGTTCTGCTACAAAACAAGTTCTAGATGTTAGGTAACTAATTTTTTCCCCCCATAGCTCAACAGAGCATTCCAAGAGGAAGACTCTCCAGCTACTTTTTACTGCATCAGCATGCAGTGGTTTAGAGAATGGGAGAGTTTTGTGAAGGGTAAAGATGGAGGTAAGTGGTTAACTGAAAAATGAAATTCTTTTTATTCATTTTTACTTTTGGTACCGGGGATCGAACTTAGGACCTTGTGCTTGCGAGGCAGGCCCCGGAACCACTGAGCTAAATCCCCAGCCAAAAAATGAAATTCTTAGCGAACTTTTTTTTTATTCATTTGACAAATATTTCTTGAGTGTCTGTATGCACTTAGGATTATACCAGTAAACAAAAGAGAAAAAGATCTCTGAGATCAGAGATTCTATAGTCTAGTTTATAGTTCTATGGTTTTTAATTTTTTTTTTTTTGGTACCAGAGATCGAACTCGGGGCCTTATGCTTGCAAGGCAGGCAGTGGAACCACTGAGCTAAATCCCTGGCCCTGTTTTTAGTTTTTTATAAACCTGTTTTATTATAGCATATTCATAGTGGGAATAAAGGAACTGAATATAATTAGTCTGTGATCTAAATATTGAAAAATTTAAAATATCATATACAGCAGTAGGAGGGAAATTAAATAATTATGGTTTATCCAGTATAATGGAATACTTTGTGAACTTTTAAAAGAATTTAAGTGATAATATTTAATAATATATGTGAAAAAAGGTTGCAGTGCCATATGTATAATTTGAACCCTTGGTTTTTTTAAAGCAAACATTATGCAAAGGGAAAAAGACCACACAGATATTAAAAATTTGCATATCCTTCTGTAATGAGATTGCAGATTCCTTGTGCCTACTTTAGAACTTTTGATAAGGTGCCTACTCAAGAACTTTTGAACATTCACTGTACTTTTGTATTCAAAGGAAAAACAAAGCCTTTTTTAATTAAGAAAGAACGTATTTTAACATTTTGTAATTACTTTATTTTTAATGTACTTTAATGTACTGAAACAAATTAAAAATTATGTAATTTCTCTATTGAATAACAAAGTAATTGCTCTTTTATAACATTAAAGGTACGTATTGATTTGCAATTCCTAAATGGATAGATGAGAAAATCACTTCTATTATACTTCAAATAGGACTGAGGAAGTCTCTTGCCTTACCTTGTTCAGTTTGGGGACAGATAAGACCCAAAACGGAAGAAGTGCTGGAAAAGATATTAAGAATACATTATACCCAGTACCAAAAAAAAAAAAAAAAAGAATACATTATAGCAGTGATGGTGAACCTATGGCATTGTTGCTGTAGCAGGCTGTTTGCTATCATTGAAAGTTCTAAAAGGTTCGTGATCACTGCATTAGAGGGCTCAGTGATAGAGTGCCTGGCTAGCATGCACAAAACCATGGGTTTGGTCCCCAGCACTGGAAAGAAAAAGAATAGGCTATAATAATTTGGCTGACAATCTGGTTATTATTTCAGGCACAAAATTATGTAGTTCTTTGATATTTACTTTAAAAGTGCATTTTGTAAAAAAAAAAAAAAAAAGAAAAAAGTGCATTTTGTTAATTTTTTTTTTCCTTTCAATTCAGATCCTCCAGGTCCTATTGACAACACTAAAATTGCAGTCACTAAATGTGGTAATGTGCTTCTCAGGCAAGGTAAGACTGCCTAGTATTAAAGCCTCTATTTGTTAGTGATTTCTCACCATTAGGAACATATAATCACTAGCCATCTTGGTACTTTCTTACCTAGCTCAAGAATGTATTTGGGCTGGGGATGTAGCTCGGTGGTAGAATGCTTGTCTAGCATGTGCAATATCCTAGATCCAAATTTCAGTGATGCCAAAGAAAGGAAGGAAAGAAAGACAGGAAGGAAAGAAGAAATTCATGCTTGAATTATGTCAAACAGTGGAATGCAGCTGGTCTTTTATTTTTTAATCTTTTTGTACCAGGGATCGAACTCGGGTCCTTGCCGCCTGTGCAGCAGGCGGAGAAACCACTGAGCTAAATCCCTGGCCCCTTATTTTTTAATCTTGAGAAAAAGCTTTAAGGCTGTTGGTAGGAGCTAAGAAAAAAAAAAAACTTTTTAAGGCTGAGGCAGGAGGATCACAATAAGTTTCAGGCCAGCCTGGGCTACATGGTGAGTTCAAGGCCAGCCTGAACTATATAATGATACCCTGACTCAAAAAACAAAACTTTTTAAGACCATTCATGACAGCTTGTAACACTACAAGCTGGTAGTATGCAGTGTCTCAGAATTTCTCAAATGTCCCTAGAGAATTTGTGCTGGTGGGTTCATTATGAAGCTTATGCACTTTGAATATGTAGGTTTGTAAACATGGTTTTTTCTACATACACATAATTTTAGGAGCAGATTCTGGGCAAATTTCTGAAGAAACATGGAATTTTCTACAGTCTATATATGGTGGAGGGCCTGAAGTTATCCTACGACCTCCAGTTGTTCATGTTGATCCTGATATTCTACAAGCAGAAGAAAAAATTGAAGTAGAAACTCGATCTTTATAATTTTGAGGATGTAGAGAGTTCTATTGAGAAATCCTTTTCACTTCCTTTGACAAATACCCATGCAACAACATTCCGTAAAGCATGTTCATTTTCTTGATTTTTCATCTTTTACCACATTTATTATTTCTTACTGGGCATTATGGAAGAATATGTTAAAATATATATATAATATACTAGAGGTTGGTCTATTTAATGCTAAATAGCTTACCATAAAGTCTTTTGGTGTAATATTTTTGAAAGAGACAGTTGTGATCAACTGGTAACCAGTAGGTTATCTTTGATCTTTGTACTACATGCAGATCCATAATACCCTTTGTAGTATTGTACATATTTTTGCTTTCAAAACTTTTTCATCTCCCTAACCTACCATAACTGATCAATCATTTCAGTTCTCCAGAAACCTAATTTCACTGTATAGTTTTGACATGGCTTAGTATAACAAGGAGCCTATTTTAAATTCAGAGTAGTAGTCAGAGAATTGTTAATTTCCTAAAGCTCAGGAAACATTAGTGTGTCACATTTTTGCACTGCAGCCTATAAACTAGCATATTGAAATTTGCAAAATGTCTTTTTTGAACGTATCATGGATGTATGTAGATTGAGTAAAATTTGTTAGCAGGTATCAGTAACTTATTGCCGCTTATATTATAAAATGTTAAACTTCAATTCCTATAACCCTGAATAGTATTCATTAATGTCAGTAAATAATAAAGTTAATTTTAGACCACTTTTTATTTTGATAGCATGAAGTGTGGAATGTGTTGATGAAATCGTTGATAAAGCTGAAGCCACTTGCAAAATGATTTTTTAATGAGAAATACATAAAGTCTTTTTGAATTATATAGTATGCACCACTATTTGCTTGATTATGTAATGTCAAAAGTTTATATTCCAAGTACAAAAACATACTGGATTACATTGAGTATTCAATGTAATAACATTCTTGATGGCTTTGTCTCAGTTCGGGGCAGCTGCTGCCATCTAAATATTAAAAATAGTTCAATAAAAATGGTTTAAAAATGTATAACTTGAATGTTAAATTTATTTGACACACTAAAGGTGAAAGACAAAGTTTGTTAATAATGATGCTTATTATTTCTTGCTAAGAAGTATGCAAATAAGTAATTTGATATAGTAAAGTTTTGATGTCTAATGAAACTATAAGCTTATTAATTGGTCATTTAAGATCTAGTTGATCTAGTTTTTTTGTTTGTTTGTTTTGGTACTGGGGATCGAACTCGGGTCCTTGCGCTTGTGCAGCAGGCAGTGAAACCACTGAGCTAAATCCCCAGCCCTAGTTGATGTAGTTTTTAAAGCCGGGCATGGTGGTGCACACCTGTAATAATCCCAGCATTGGGAGGCTGAGACAGGAGGACTGGCATGAGTTTGAAGCTTGCCTGGGCTTCATAGTGAGTTCAAAGCTAGCCTGAACTGTAAAGAGAGATCCTGTCTCAAACAAAAAAAATTAGTGTTTAGTTTTCTTCTTAGTTATGATTCTCTTCAAGGATTGAATGATTTGTTAACTGAGAAACAAAAACAAAATCATACATATCAGGGCCGGGGATTTAGCTCAGTGGTTTTGCCACCTGCTGCGCAAGCTCAAGGACCTGAGTTTGATCCTCGGTACCAAAAAAAATATATATATATATACATATCAGTGAGATACCATGTAATGTTCAATACATGTATGCATTGTGTAATGTTAATCAGTGATATTTTTGATCTGTCTTTGAATCACCAGAATTTATTGTAATGCTTGGCACTTAATCAAAAAAGTTTTTTTAAAAAAAATAGTGCCTAGCATTTACTGAATACCTACACTGTTTCAGTCACTGTACTGCTGTGTTTTCCTTACATTTAATCTTCATGACAACCTTGTACCTTATGTGGCTTGCACAAGTCACACAGCAAAGTGGCAGCTATGGGGCTCCAACTTAAGTCAAAGTGACTCCATACTCATGCTCTTACTCAGTGTGATACATTGTTTCCCAGTGAATTCCCATGAAACTGCTTATGCTAGTCACATTCATTAATAGTAAGAAGTTAATAAAATATATAGTAAAGAATATTAGTTCCTAAGAACTTAGGTATTATATAATCATATGAAAATATGCTTATATAAAAATTGTCAAAGTACATAATGTGATAAAGGGGGAGCAGTCCAGTAGACTTGTCAGTAAAGGTTGGCTTATGTATTTGTTGACACGTGGGATGAAGCAAATGGTTTTTCTAAGAATGATTTTCTTAGAGATTCTTAGGCTGAGAAATAGGAAAACTGTAGTCAAAGAATATGCTAAAGAGTACATTAATTTATCCAGGTATGGTGGTGCATGCCTATAATCCCAGCTACTTGACTGAGCCGAGGATATAGCTCAGTAAGAAGCCTGCCGGGTGGTGGGGGGGGCGCACTGATTTTTTTTTTTTTTTTTTTTACTTTTATTAATACATGTTTGCAATACATAATAATTACATTCACTGTAGGGGATTGTTACATGTGCATAACACATTTCAGTTCCCTTCTTTTGCCCCTCTCCCTCCACTCGCCTTTATTTTTCCAGCATCAGATACATTTATTTATCTTATAAGACCTTGCAAAGTTAATTATCATATATATAGATTGAAAATCAGATTAGTGGGCCAAACAACATATGAATCATGTAAGGCAATTGTACTAAGTCAAGGTACACTTTTAGATACATTGTCTGCACTAGATTATAATACTTTTTTTCCGTTATCTTTTATTTTGTTGGTGTGTGTGTATGTGTTATACAAATTCATATAAGAGAATCCATATGATATTTAAACTCGTGTGTCTGAGTTAACATTATGGTCTCAAGGTGCATCTTTTCCTATCCAACTTGTTTATCCTTTTTTATTTAATTTATTTAATTTTTTGGTACCAAGGATCGAACTCAGGTCCTTGTGCTTGCGCAGCAGGCAGCAAAACCACTGAGCTAAATCCTCGGCCCCTGTTTATCCTTTTTTATGGCAGAGTAGTACTCTATTTTGTGTAAATACCACATTTTTAATACATTCATCTGTTGATGGACATACAGGCTGTTTCCAAAATTTAGCTATTATGAATGGCACTGCTGTAAACATGGGTATGCATACGTCACTGTGCTATGATGGCTCTTTGGGGAGGGTACGTAGACGGGGAGTCCTGGGTCAAATGGAATTTCTCCTTTTAGTTTTTTGAGGAATCTGCATACTGATTTCCATAGTGGTTATATCAGTTTACAGTCCCACCAACAATGGAGAAGGTTCCATTGTCCCCACAGCCTCATTAGCATTTGTTATTGATTTCTTGATGGTAGCTATTCTTCCTGGAGTCAGATTGAATCTCAGTGTTGTTTTAATTTGCATTTCTCGAATGGTCAGCAGTGTTGAACATTTTTTGTGTATTTACTGGTTGTATTTCTTCATCTGAGAAGTGTATTTCAGATGCCCTTTTTTTTTAACTGGGTCTTTAAGTTTAGGAGGTCTCATTTCTTTGAGTTCTTTATATACTCTAGATATTAGTCCTTTGTTTGAGGGGTAGTTGGCAAAAAATTTTTCCCATCCTGTAGGTTCTCTTCACTCTTAGTGGTTTCCTTTGCTGAAAAGCACATTGATTTATAATATGAAAGTGATTAGTTTTTGAAGTCACTTTGTTTAAATTAAAATCTTAGTAGCAGCCAGGCATGGCACACACTTATAACTCCAGCACTTGGGAGGCTGAGGCAGGAGGATCACTACATAATGAGTTCAAGGCTATCCTGAACTACACAGTGAGACTGTCTCAAAAAGACCAAAACCAGCCTTGGCCCCGTGCTCACCCTGCGCCTCCGCGCCTCGGGCGGTGCTTGGCTGCGCGTCCCAGCCCTCTCGGCAGCCCCCGGTGCCCCGCGCTCCCCGCCCGGCCGCTCGCCAGCAGCCCGCCAGTCGCCAGTCGCACACGTCTCCGGAGCCGGGCCCAGGGCGGGCAGCGGCGGCGGCGCGGCCAGGCTGGGCTCGCGGCTTCCCCATGGCTGCGGCCGACTGGCGGATCGGCTTGGTCCAGGAGAAGTACCGGCTCGTGGTGGACGGTGGGGGCGGCGGGGGCAGGTCGGCGCTCACCACCCACTTCATCTAGTCCTATTTTGTAACAGATTTCGATCCAACCATTGAGGACTCCTATACAAAGCAATGTGTGATAGATGACAGAGCAGCCCGAGTAGATATTTTGGATACAGCTGGACGAGAAGAATTTGGAGCGATGAGAGAACAGTATATGAAGGCTTCTTGTTGGTCTTTTCAGTCACAGATAGAGGCAATTTTGAAGAAATCTATAAATTTCAAAGACAGATTCTTAGAGTAAAGGATCGCGATGAGTTTCCAAAGATTTTAATTGGTAATAAAGCGGACCTGGATCATCAAAGGCAGGTGACACAGGAGGAAGGACAACAGCATGGCAACTTAAGGTAACATACATGGAGGCGTCAGCAAAGATTAGGATGAATGTAGATCAAGCTTTCCATGAACTTGTTCAGGTTGTAAGGAAATTTCAAGAGCAAGAATGTCCTCTTTCACCAGAACCAACACGGAAAGAGAAAGACAAGAAAGGCTGCCATTGTGTCATTTTCTAAGAATCCCTTCAGTTTTAGCTGCCAACTGCCAGGGAAAGCCCTCATCTCCTCCTCTCCTTGTGGTTTACATCATGTTGACCCCTTTCTAGCCCTAGACAAATGATCACCCTGTTAGCCTTAGACCAAGAAGCCAGCTAATTCTTTGCATGAAGCTAATACAATGGTCCTTTCCAGATCAATTTAAAGGAAACACTAAGGCTGCCTCAGAGATTATCTAATTCCTTTAAAATACTGTCTACATACATAGACACATTTTTTTCTTTTTTTAAGGGCTTACGTTTTATTAGGGATGAATCAGTTTTGGAACTGAAGTTATTTGCCAAGCTTAAGTCATAGGTTGTGAAATACTTTTTAACTTCTGGAATCATTGCCTACTGTTACTCTAAATAGAAACATAGGGAGTTTAAAAAAAAAATGTGAATTTTTGCCTATCCTTAAAAATTTTGATGTCAACTTTATCTAACCTTAAATACACTGAATGGAATCTACAAACAGACCTTTCTTGATGCTACAGCTTTTATTTTCCAGTGGCCAAAAATACCAAAATGTCTATTGTATTTATGGATTAAAAACTGCTTAATGAAGCCTTTGTTATTACTCCTCCTCTTGAAGATGATAATATTCTATGTGGCCAAGTATTTGGACCCATTCTGGACTTAGGCATTTTACTGTAGTTTCTTAATTTAATGCTTTTCACACTCTTGCTAATGGTAAGAATGAGTAATTTCTGTCTTCATTTTCAAGTATTTCTGTTTGATATAATATAAAATGTGGAATTGATCTTTCCAGAGTCAGAGAGGATTAATGTTTTTGCTGTATACTTTTATACATTATTTTCTTGTCAAACTAGTTAACAAGTATTTTTATATGTTTGTAAGCAAATATGCTTTCACAGCATACCCTGTGTATATGTAAAAATAAGTATTTAATTCTCACTGTTCACTTTTAACTGACAAAGAAAAAATGGAAACCGTAGAAACTGTGGTAGAAATTTGACTTGCCAGTCTGGTCCTGGTTGTATGCACTTTTGGCCAGTCGTGTCCCTACTCGAGAAACCTTCTTAGTAGAGAAGCGGCAGGACAAGACTGCATCGCTGTCAGGACCCCCCACTAGGTATTGACTGCTATATCAAGTATTACATGTAAAACCTTTGATTGACAATTTAGTATAATTGTGGATGGTTTCTGATTTTGTTTTTAATTCTGTGGATTGTGTTTAAACAATTCAAAAGTATATTTCTGATGATGAGATACTAAGTGGTATCTATCACATAGTTGTGACTTTATTGAATGTGTACAACAGTGCCATGAAGTTTATAACGCTGATCTTGTAGAGCTTCAGGTGCTAGAATTAAAATTCATCTGTTATCACACACAAAAAAGACCAAAACCAAAAAAATCCCTAGTAACTATATCATCTTCTGGCCATGATTTGGAATTATATTTATAATTCTTTCATTTTTAGTTGTTTGCAGTTTTTAAATGAGAATACTGCAGGTTGGGTTTTCCAGGAAGCAGATACTGAGATGGTGTTAGAAGTACATTTGATTTGTTGTGGTGTAACACAGTGACAGGAAATGAGGGTGCCTTACAGTGTAGCTCCACGGCAGAGAGCATGCGTGCCCTGGTCCAATCCCTAACACCTGTGAATGAATGAATGAAAAGATTTAAAAATAAAGAAAATGCAAGGAAGCAGGAATGAATAGGAAGGAGTTACCAGACTGATGCAGATGTAATAAAGCCTCTGTCTGCCTTGCTAGGATATCCAGAGTTAAGAAGGCTCAACGGGGGAGTCCTGCACTGGCAGAAATGACCAGGAATCTGTACTGTCACTAAATGTTCTGTCACTGACTAGCAGCTATCTGGAAGAAAATCGAGCTCAGCTGGACCATGGAGGAGCTGACAGCTAGATAACAACTATCAGCCATCCACATCCTTAGCTGGCAGCAAGTATGAGGTGTGATTGAAAAATATGGTATTTAAAAGACCCACTGCCACGAATCCCCTCAGGATTCTCCCCCTTCCTTTGAATACACTTATCCCTTGGGTTTTGCTACTTTTTTTTTTTTTTTAGATAAGGTCTCGCTGTGTATTCTAGGCTGCCCTTGAACTCACAGCGATCCTCCTGCCTTGGTCTCGCGAGTGCTGGGACTATAGGTCTGTGCCACCACGAGTTTCTGCCACTTTCTGAAGCAGTTCAGAAATCCTCTTTCATAAGTGCCTTTAGTTGAGTGTTGTGGCTGTGTCAGTGTCCTGAATCAATATTTGCCTTTCATGGTCATTTGGACTTTGGGGATGAGCTGGAAGTGACATGGTGCCAGAACCAGTGAATAAGGTGGATGAAGACACACAGTTATGCTTTTTGAGCTTGCTCTTCTCTTTACTGTAACATTTTAAAAATATTTAAACATTGACTGTAAATTTTGATCACCCACGAACTTTCCTGGAGGTCTGAATGGCAAAGCTCCATGTCTGCCACACACCGTCATGGGAGTATAATAGTTATATAACTGTCATATATAATATACCTAACATAATTGGCAGTTAGTGGTATTTTTTCTGCTTTTCAACATATAACTCCTAAGTACACAATATTATCTATGTTTAATTTGAATCAAATCTTGAGGGAAAATCAAGATAACTTTTAAAAGTGCACACACTTAAGAATCCCTGCTAGGGATTCTTAAAAAGTGTTATGAGCCAAGCATAGTGGCACACACCTGTAATCCTAGCACTCTGGGAGGCTGAGCCAAGAAGATACAAAGTTCAGTGAGACCCCATCTGAAACAAGAAAGGGCTGGGGATGTAGCTCTGTGCAAGGATCCTGGATTCAGTCCCCAGTACCCAAGAGCGGGGGCTAAGATGAGCATGACAGCTGAGTGCACTGTGTGACCCCTGACTGGGACTTGGATTAGGGAGAAAAATTTATAAGGAACACTTGGAGAAATTTAAACTTGGACTATAGATTAGGTAACAGTATATCCATTTAAATTTCTTGAATGTTGGGCTGGGGATTTAGCTCAGTGGTTCCTCTGCCTGCCTCGAAAGCGCAAGGACCTAAGTTCGATCTCCAGTACCAAAAAAAAAAAAATTTCTTAAATGTGAAATTAGTCATATGGGAGAATGACCTGTTCAGAAACATGGTGAAATGTTGACAATTACATGGTGGTACTGTAACATTTAGGAGGTGGGAAGACATTTCACTATTTCTGTGTAACTTTACATGGTAATCATATAATAGTTTTTCATTGTTTAGCTCTCAATGTTTAATGACCTCTTTTGCCATCCTTTGTGAGCTGTCTGGGACAGCATATATCACACCAGCTCTTGCAAGTCGTGTGCTTCCCCTGGCTTCACTGAATGACTTTATAACCCTATTTTACTGAGACTGAAATATAAGTGTCTTTGTCTTCCTCTCCTTGCTGCCTCTTAATATTTGACATCTTGTCTTCCTAGGTTAAAGAAGTTTTATTAACATGTAACTGACAAATTAAAAGGTACCCTTCTCTTTCCCTGTCTTCCTCTCCCTTGGTTAAGTCATCACACCCCATCCTCCCCACCCCTCACACCAGGGATTGAACTCAGGACCTTGCGCTTTCGAGGCAGGCACAGCGCTACTGAGCTAAATTCCCTGATCCCAAGTCATTTTTTTTCATTTGGAGTGGTACTTTTCTTTTTTTCTTTTTTTTTGTGACAGGGTCTCTCTGTGTAGGCCAGGCTGGCCTTGAACTCAAGGTGATCCTCCTGCCCCAGCCTCCCCAGTGTTGAGATTACAGGAGTGTACCTCCATGACCAATTCAATTTGGAGTACTTTTGAAGCCCTGCACTTTCCTATATATTAAAAAGAAAAAACCAGGTACCCATGCTCCAAGCCACAGAGCTTCTAAAACCTTCCCTCTTCATAGACCTTCCCCAGCCTTCATGCTTGCTAAATTCTCCCTTCTTCTAGGAGGGAAATGTTGTTCTCTAACCAGTCTGCCATCCCTGTTTCTTCACTTTATGTACAAATTTCTAAAGCCAGGGATTTAGCTCAGTGGTTCCACCACCTGCCTCCTAAGCGCAAGGACCCGAGTTCGATCCCTGATACCAAAAGACGAACAAATTTCTGGGCCTGTCTGCATCCTTTATTTCCACCCTAGTGTTCACCCTCTTTCCCCATCTCCTTTCTGGCTTCCATTGTTGTTACATTGCTCAAATTTATTTTTCTCCCTCATACAGAACATACTAGCAATTTTTCTTTTGGTTTTTTGAGACATGGTCTCACTGAGTAGTTCAGGTTGGCCTTGAGTTTATGGCCATCCTCCTGCCTCAGCCTTTTAAGTGCTAGGATTCCAGGAGTGTGCCACCACACCTGGCTCAGCAATCATTATTTTCATAACAAACTTTAGAATATAGTGTGGTTAGTTACTGTCCAGAAAGAGGTAATTTCCTTGTGTTTTGAGATGACGACTATGCCTCTCAAAGGAAGATGGTGATTAGTTTGAAAATATTTGTATTTTGAAGTATTCTGAAGGATAAAGTGGAAGGGGTAAGAAACTAGTTCTCTAGGGAAAAAGTGGGTTATAATTGAAAACTATTATAACAACAACACTGCTACTCTTAACCATTACTGAGTTCTTATTAAATATCCATTGTGCTAAACATATTGGAGATTAATTTGCCCAAGTATACAGTCAGAGTTTCAAGTTCTGATATATCTTGACTCCACAACCTGTGATTTTCTCAGAATTCACAAGCAGGAAATCCAGTAATCTCACTGACAACTTTAGGCCTGAAGCCTAAGTTTTTGTGAGCCCTACTCCTGTGTCTAACTCCCTTTGTCATTCTGGCTCTGGATGCTAGATCTGTCACTCTGACCTACATACATATTATCTTCATTAATAGAACTCACTCCACTGGTTCCAACTACCACTTCAAGATGATTCTCAGCTCGGTTTCACTAGCTTTATTGTCTCTTCCAAGTAGAAGTCCCCACTGTCTAACTGCTGGATCTGTCCACTCACACGGTAGTCCTATCACTGAAGGTGTGTCTGCGAGGAGGTGTGAACACTAAGTAATTAGTGCAGTCAGTATATTGTAGTGAGACTGCTTGTACCTGAGTACTAGCTCTGTCACCTTAAACTCAACAATTTGAACAGAAATATGACTAGTAATTAGGAGTACTGGCTCCCAATCCAGTGTATCATTTACTTTTTGCTACCCTCAGAGATACTGTCTTAGTTACCTTTTCTCCTTCCTGAGACAAAATATTTAACACCCAGAGTTAAAGGAGGAAAGGTTTTTGTCTTAGTTACTTTTCTCTCACTGCTGAGACACAATACCTGACACCCAAAGTTAAAGGGGGAAAGTTTATTTAGTTCACAGTTTAAAGAGGTTTCAGTCCATAATCAGCCGGCTCCAAGGCAGGGTGGTGTGGGAGAAGGTAGCAAAAGCAACAAGAGACCTTAACATCGTCTTTCTGCCCCTTTTACCTTTCACAGGCTACTTAGGGTGGGCAGCACGCACACCCTTAATCCTAGTGCCTTTGAGCCTAGCACTGCACCGTGAATCAATCCGTGTCACACACTCTAGATCCATCCACCTCTGAAAAAGCCCCACCTGTGACCATGTGGAGTGGTGGGAGTGTCTAGACACAGCCATAACAGATATCCGTGCACATTAATTTATTTTCCAAGTCTATGGCATCAGTGGCTGATCTCAGCTGAGCTCAGTGCATCTAATAACCCTTCCTGGGCTTGTCTTGGGTTTGGCTGATCTGGGGTGACTTCCACAGAGACGGGCTGTTCCTTATGTCCTTTAGCAGGCCAACGCAGGCATTTTCTTTTGTCACGGGAGAGGAGCAAGTCATTTTCCAAACAACATATGTGTCACAACTAACATTTCATTGGCCAAAGCAAGACACATGGTTGAACTTAGATTCAAGGAACAGATTCTACTTTCAGTAAATGGAACTGCAAAGCTGCATCACAAAGTAAGTGGCTAGAGAGGTAATGAATACAGTCAGTCTACTATAGTGAATTGCTTGGACTTGATATGGCTCTGCCACTTAACTGTGTGGCCTTGAAAAGTTCTCTGGTCTCTTTCCTCATCTACAAAATGGCTGTCTACTTCCTTGGGTTGTTGTGAAACTTCGTATTAGTCACAAGGTACATGCAGTAGTGATTACAGAGTACCCTCCCTAGTGTTCGGTGGAACCAACATGCCCTGCCAGTTGCCTAATCATACAGTGCTTTTCTTTCTCTTTTT